CCCATAGCTGGGCTGCTGTACTGGGTGCAGGGAGTAGGGCTGGCCAGTTCTGAGGGGCAGGGGAAGGGGTGACACCCCTTCCCGCTATAAGCCAAAGATGTGGGACAGAGACACAGGCTCATGCAGCACACTCTCTCTTCAGCCTTAGACTGGGTCCCCCCAGAAGCAGAGTGACAGACAGATGAGGCACAGGATGCTGATTTGGAGATGCAGCTGTGGGGGCAGGAGCACCGGGAGCTGTGGGGTGAGCCTCAGCACACCCCTAACCCTCCCACTCCACAGGCCTGGCCCCAGTGCCTACCAGAAACGAGCTAAAAGTGTGGGGCCAGGTGTCCCTATCCCCCAGTGGCCAGTGTTGGCCACAGCAGCCCCTCAGGGGTATGTGTTCATAGCCGCTGCTCCCCAAAGGAAAGACCAGGGTGAGGGGAGGCTGACCCAGCCCAACAGTTCAAGTGTCCCTCCCTTTGTGAAGTCGGATATATGAGAGGGAGAGAAAAGTCCCGCTGGACATCTGCCCCATCCCCTGCCGCCACCTTGGCCTGCATCCCTCTGGTCTCTTTGCCAGTGTCTTCTCATTGGGGAATGACAGTGGCTGTTGGCTTCTGTGGGTTCTTGAGTTTGGGCCTGGGGTGTTTGCAGAGGAGCCTCTGCTCTGTGACCAAGTCCGGAGCCTGGAGAGGCCCCTCTCCTGGATCCAAAAAATGCTGAGCCTGTTCTCCTACATCCTGTACTACATCCTGCACTACATCCTACCTATATCCTACAGCTCTCGTTGGAGGGTTTTTCTGCTGGGTGGAGTCTGTGGTAACCTTTCCAAATCAAAGTCATATCATTTCTCCCCTGACTCGTGCCAGGACTTACCAGGTGAAAGAAAATGGTGGCTTATGGGACACCTGGATGTCTCAGTGGTTGAGCATCTACCTTTGGCTCAGGTCATGATCCAGGGATCCTGGAATCGAGTCCTGCATTGGGTTCCCCACAGGAAGCCTGCTTCTCCCTCTGCCGATGTCTCTGCCTCTCTGTCTCTCATGAATAAATAAAATCTTTTAAAAAATGATCATTTATAACGTACTCATCGTTCCTCCAGCAGTGTCAACGTTTCTATCAGAGGTGCCCCCATATTTCTTTTACTTACCTAGCTTCACTCTTGAGTCTGGGACTTTTGGATTTGTTTATTTCCAGTATGTTTAATGCATGCAGCCAGTGTTTTCATTGCCCTAGAAGCCGGTAAGGATTTGATTTTTAGTGCATTTAATGACACGAACACTACGTTACTTACTATTGTACTTGAAAACATTTATGTTGAGATGACCTAGAAGAAATTCCAGGTCCCTCGGTCATACCACCCATCATCCTCCATGGTGGCAGTGGCAGGTCCATTTGTCCTGCCTGAAGTTTTCCATGTGCATTGAGTTATTTTTGTGCCTTTTGAAACACAGTCCAGGAGACGTCTAACAGTAAGAGAATGTGTTGCTGAAAGTTTGACTTCCCGTAATAGGAGATTCTGTATGTGGTCCAACGTGGAATGCCAGAAACCATGGCAGCACTGCTGTGCAGTCATCCCATCTCCGTAGAAATGCGTGTTTGCATGGAGGCTGCACACTGTCAGCTCCACGTGTTTGTGACAAGCAAACAGGCAGCAGACCAGGGTGGTGGCAGATTCCCCCCATGTTGTCCAGTCTGTGTTTTGGAAAAGGGTCGTGTTCACAGCTGGTGATCTGCTAGACTTCCCCTGGAGAGTGGGCCAGGCCTGCAGGGGGAGGGGGGTGCTCCCCCTCCCACCTCATGACACTCCCAGAAGGGGCCCCAGTAGGCTTCGATGATCTGACTGCTGCATTCCTTTTAAGATTTTTCTCTGTTTACATGGGCTGTTCACAACTTTTAAACGAGGTAACTTTGAGGGGGTATGGGTGATGGTGGCAGGTGTGTCCAAACTGTTGTTTGCTGATTAAAACCGAGTTCTGTGGAGGGTTATCAGAGCAGTGGCCACTGGAAGAAGTTCATTCTCAGCTGGAAGGAAAGTTGTATTAATAAGCCTTGCCTCCAGAGATGGTGGTATCACTAAAAGCTCGCGGGCGGCCCCTGGCAGCTGCTGTGCTTGAGAACCCCCCTGCACAGGCGATGCTGCAGGATGAGGGAAGCAGGGGGGTCCCGGGTAGGTCCCCATGGTCCTCACCCTGATGTGCTGGGAGGTCCCTGGGTCCAGCCAGTGCCTGTCCTGCTGTCTCCCATCCCAGCCCCCACCCCCTGGTCCCATGCAGGCTCCACCATGGCTGACACAGCACTCTGGCCCTGCCAGCCTAATGCCCACACAGGGCACCACTCCAAATAGCTGACGTCACTCGTGTGATGGTAGCAGCAATGGGGGTGTCACCTGGTCCAGGCCAGAAAGGTCAGGGCACCCAGAGCAAGGAGACCAGGTGAGGCCCACGCAGCAGTGGGCACCATGGCCAGCCCAGTTACCCTGCAGCCCTCACTTGGCCTATCCCTGCTGCGTGGGCCAGGTCACAGCCCTGCACACCTGCACCCACCTCTTTATCTTCAAGCAATGCCAAGGACCTTTGTGTTTTTCACAAATCATTGCTTGGATTCATGTGCTCACCTCCTGGTGAAGGACCACAGCTGGAGGAGGGGCAATGGTCTGTCACCCTGTCCCCCTCCTTGGCAGTATTGGTGGGAGAGTGGCTCTGGTTACTTTCCTTGGTGGCCCCTACCCTCTGAAGAGAATCAGAAAGGGCCAGTGTTTAGGGAAAGGAAGGCTGGTCCAGGTGGAGAGTCTGTCTTGGTGTTAGGGGTCAGAGGGCTTGGGTCAGAGGTGCTGGCTTCCTCGTCTGCTTCACACAGTATGAAGCTGTTTCATACTGTTTGTTTTGCTGTCATACTGTGCATTGTTTAAGCTGCCAGCCTTTAAAATTCGGGAGGCTTCACCCTGTGCGATTCTGTTTCCAGCTTCTCTGGAGAGGCTTCTCAGCCTGGGCTGTGGCCAGGGTGTGGGCATCCAGCTGGACCCCCTCAGCGTCCCTGGCTGACCCCTGGCACAGTCAAGGGTGGGCATCACGGCCCTCTGAACAACTCTGGAGGCACATTTAGCTCCTGAGACGCAGAGCATGGGCTCCAACTACCACCACGCCAGGGTGACCGTTAGCCAGAGAGAGAAAGAAGCTATCTGTGTCCTTTCCAAGTTCACGTGTCCTTAATGCTGGGTGTTGTAGAAGAAGAAGCCAGACCTCACAGGCCACACCGCATTCAAGTCCTGGCCACCAGCCTGGTGGCCCCTCTGTGGGGACTGCGCACACTCCGCAGGCCACCCCTGGGCCCTCAGGAAGCAGACAGGGCTCCATCTCTTGTGGGATAGGCCCCTCCAACCTCGGTGGGAGCATCCTTACCCCACTGGGTCAGAGCAGGAGGCAGAGGCCAGGCCCTGGTGACAGCCAGCAGCATGACAGATGCGGGGTTTGTACTCAGCACTCTGGGCAAGGGGGCAGCTGCTTCCTATCCTCCCTGCCCCTGCCCAGGCCCTCAGGGTCAGTGTTGATGTGCCCTCGGCCCCCGCTGCTACAGCCCTGACCTTTCACTGAGACTTTGGCCCTGAAAGGCTGCTGCCCTATTGCCTGCCTGGCTTCAGGGAGGCAGAGGCTGGCCCGCGGCTGTTTGCTGCTCTTGGTGCTAGACTGGCTGTGCTGCCTGCTCAGTCGGCCACCGTGGCCCAGGGCAGTCTGAGCAGGCAGCTGGGGCAGGGGAACTCCCTGCAGACGTCATGCTCATCAGACAGCTGCCCCCTAGACTTCAGGAAACACCTAAAAACCAAAAGCCTCTCAGGCAGCTGGGGCGCTGGGCTCCTGGGGCTGTATCTGTGGAGATGCCACTCCTCCCCAAGAAGGGGATTGTCCAGAGACTCTCCTCTGAAAGCACCTCCCGTCCTGGTGGCCTGAGAGCCCTGCGCTGGCACACGTGTGTGTGTGCGTCCATGCTTGCGTGTGGCACTGCTGGAGACTCCCTAGTGTAACCCTGAAATCCCGTTGCTGGTAAATTCAGCTGGTTTAAAAGGGAAGCAGAGGAGGAGCTGATGAAAGCTGCTCTTTTGTTTTAGAAGATTCCGGAAGGATTCAGTGTTTAGTGGGAACACAAAGGTTGTCAGGGCGCTGCCATTTTATGAAGGGACTTGCCTGGCCTGGGGGGTGGGGGAGCAGCCGGAGGGAGGGGTGTGGCTCTGCAAAAGCTGGATGCCCCTGGGGCAGCTGGCTAGGCCTCTCTGGAGGCCTGGGGAGCAGTAGCCGGGTCCCTGGATGGAATCACAGTGACACTGACACTGGTGTTGCAGGTTTTCCAGGAAGGGGGAAGGGTGTGCAGCTGCTGGAGTCACACACCACCACCCCCCACCTGGTTTTGAGTCTCATCTGGTTTGATAGTCAGGACTATACCTGGTTGGTGTCTGGGAAAATGGTGTCCAGAAGCCACAGCCAGCCAGATCGGGAGGGCAAGAGGCCACTAGTACCACGTCTGCCAGCTGCACAGCTTCCTGCTCTCCTTGGGAGGGGTTTGCTGGAGCAGAAGGGCCTCAGCGGATCCTTGTGGCGGGAATACTGCCCGTCCCCATCCCCAGGGAGCAGTGTGCCTTTGATTGCGCCTGGGCGGTGGCCTGGGGGTGGCCTGGGGCAGACAGCAGTGGGAATGGGCTGGGGACAGGCGAAGGGCAGTGTCCTGCAGAGCCTCATGGGATGGGGCCCTCCAGGTGGCCCAGAAATCCTTGTTCTCAGTGCTGAGCACAGGTACAGGGTCTGGAAATGCAGCTGAGGTCACTCAACTTTGACCCGTCCTGGGGTGAGGGTCACCTGAGTCCCCAGGAGGGCAAGACTCTGAGCAGCTCTGTCTCCATTTGCCAGTGGAGCCCAGCACAGGGTGTGGGACAGCCCACCCACCTGGTAGGGGTCAGCTCCTCAGAGTGGGGCTCCAGGATGCTGCGAGACATCCTTGCAGGCTGGTTCTCCCTTGACTTTTAGGGAGGAGCAGTATTGGGGGCTGGGCAGGAGATGGCCCCCCAGCTGCCAGTGCTAACCCCGGAGGAGAAGAGGGTCCTGGAGAGGAAGCAGAAGAAGGAGCGGAGAAAAGAGGAGAAGAAGCGACTGCGAGAGTCAGGAGCAGCCCAGAGCCCACCGGCCAAGCGTTCCGGGGCCCAGCTGGCCCTGGACTACCTCCGTGGGTAAGACGCCCCCCTCGCGTGGGGCCTGGCCAGTGTCCAGGGGCTCTGTGGTATCCTGGGAGGGAATTTGGGCTGTGGACTCAGGTGACCTGGGTCACATCTGGCTCCCAGAACCACTAGGACCCTGGGGGCAGTAGGGCCACCACCAGTGGTGCTCCTGTGGTCTGAGGCCTGTCCTGGCAGGTGTCACCACAGAATCATCACCTCCAGTGGGGCTGTCAGAGGAAGGGGAGCAGGGCACAGTCACTGCAGCCATGACTGGAGCCCTTGGGGTGCCCAGCAGACCCTGCTTTACCCTGTCACCACAACCAGGTAGAGGCTGGCAGTTACACTGCTAATAGCTTTGTAGGAAACTTTCTAGAAGCTCCAAGAAAAGTGAGACCACTGTAACACCACTGGATTCTCTTTGCAAAGAAACTTGTAGGTAAGTAGAGGCAGGTGTTCCAGCAGGGCCCTCCCTCCTGGTTTTCCTCCCCAGAGAGTGAGTTCATACTTTCTCCGATCCGTACTCACTCTTTAGGCCATGAGCCTCAGCAATCGAGACCAGGTCAGCCTGAGAATGCCTGCCATGGACACATGCTTTCTCTTTTTCCTCATTGTTTTTGAGGAACAGTTTACATGCAGCCACTGCCACAGCCAGGTTAGAACACCTTTGTTACTGCAGAAAGCAGCCTCATGCTCTCATGCAGCTCCCTACCCCAGCTCCAAGGGAGCCCTCCTCAAACTTGTATCACTGTGTTAGCCCTTGTATCACTGTGGACATGCCAGTTTGGGACTTGTTCACCTCATGGCCTCTTGTGGCCTGCTGCTTCCACCTGGCGTAGTGTTTTGAGGTTCATCCACATGACAGCACGTGCCAGCATTTCCTCTCTCCTTATAGCCAAATATGCATTGTGGCTATTGTGGCTGTTGCTGTGGTGCATGCCCATGTGCAGGATTCTGCGTGGAGGTGTTTTCCTTTGTCTTGGGCATAGCCTGGGGGCAGGGTTTGCTGGTGACTGGTGTAGGAGAGCTGCAGACACAACGGTTGCAGCATTTCAGCCCCACAGCAAGGGGAGGTGCTCTGATGATGGCCATCCTAATGAGAGTGGGGTGGCATCTCACAGTCCCCTTCACTGGCATCCTGTACCATGTTGAACCAAAAATCCAGGTAACTCCGTGGGCTGCTGGGCTACCGCCTCTTGGCTCCTCCCTGGAGGGTCACTGGATGGACTAATGGACTCCTCCCCAGGAGGACAGCTGCCCACTGGCTCTTGAACCTCCACCTGCTGGCCTGCAGAACGCTAGAAGGCCCTGACCTGGCTGCACTGGGGGCAGGAATTCCTCTCTGGAAGCCCACCTGCCTGCTGGGAAGAGGGCTGCAGATAGGCTCTTGGATTTCTCTCTGACACACACACACACACACACACACACACACACACACACACACACCCGGAGCAGCCGGCCAGAGAGCTGAGGGAGCTGTGGCCTGGACTGTGGTCAGAGTCCCCATCCCCTGGCCCATTATTAGCTGTAATGATGTGTAATTCTGTGCGGTGTGGGACCTTCAGTCTCCCTGCAGCCTTGGCTCCTGGGCACAGTGGGTCTGTGCTGGAACCATTGCCCCTTTGGGAGTCTAGTCTCCAGTGTTGGTATCACCTGGGCACACTCCTCCCACAGTTCCCAGAAGAAGTGGGGAAGGGAGCTGGGGAATCTGTGTCTGCTGGGACCACATGGCTGGCACAGCCCTCCTGGCCTCCCTAAACTCAGCAGGGGTGCCAGGGGAAGTCCTAGGCCCAGATGTCCATGGGGGAGGCTGGGGTGACCCGACTGTGTGTCATGAGTATGTGGGGTGTGCCCCACAGGGAAGTGCCACACCAGCAGCTTAAGGACACCCAGCCCATTGTCACCCTCTGGGGATCCTCTTCAGGTCTAAGCACTTCTCTCCATACTGGTCTGTCCAGTCTCTGAGGCCTGCCTGGTGCAGGGGCTCAGCACTGTGGGTGCCACCAGCGTCCTCTGAGATCAGAGCAGATGCAACACCCCTGCCACTCTGAGAGCCAGTCTGCATTTCAGTGAGCCTGCACACCCGGGCAAATTGCTTTCTGCTAAGGTTAGAGCTGTCCTCCCAGCTAGGTTGGTGCTGGAGACAGAGAAGGCCATTGGGCCCAGGATGGACAGAGGAGCAGGTGGACAGGCCAGGGAGATGCCAGCTACAGAGTGGACCCCAGGCTGTACAGCAGGACACAGAGCCTGACTAGGGCAGCCGGCAGTAAGGACGGGCCAGGAGGCTTGCGGGGCCTATGGCCACTCTCTGTGTAGACCCCTTATGGAAGGCAAAGGGAGGGCTGGGGGCTCAGTCTTCACTCTGGATTGCCCAACTCCCTGGTTGTCACCTCAGGGACTACTGCCCTGCCCAAACTGCCCCCACTACCTAGAGGCCAGCCCAGGGACCGTGTCCATCCTCTGGTTGGCAACCTGTCCTCAGCAGTGTAGTCCTTGCTTCTGGCCTCACCTCTAGCCCCCATGGACTCTTGCAGCCCCCTAGTGCCTGCCAGGTGTTGGTGCTGTGCAGGTAGAGCCATGCCGTGTTCCATGTGTCCTCGTGAAACAGCAGTGATGGCCTGTGCACCCTGTGGGAGCCTCAGGGGTAGTCCTGGGTACCTATGAGATGTCACAGCCTGGGACAGAGGCAGCTAGGGTGCAGGGTTCCCAGAGGAGAGGAACCTGGGAGTTCCTCTCCTCTGGGAACCCTGCACCAAGTGCCTGTGGCATGGGCTGAGGGCAGAGAGACATACTCTGGTAGTTTTCTTCCCTTCTCCCCGGGGGGTCCCTCCTGTCTGCCCAAGCCAGCAGGACTGTCCTCCTGGCAGGAGCCCATGGGCCATCTGCAGCTATACCTGTTGCCACACAAAGTGACCTTGTGGGAATGAGGCCTCACCTCGAGTAGCTGGGGCCCCATTTCCCAACCACAGCCGGGCTGTGCTGCTGTGGCTGGCAGGGCATCAGAGAGCTCCGGAGAGCAGGGGTTTGCAGGAGGGTACCCGTCTCCTGGAGGGGCCCCACTCTCACTTAAACTGGGACAGGAAGGTATTAACTGCCCCGTGTTACAGACAGGACTCCAGGAGCTCAGAGCTGGAAAAGGAGGTACGGAGCTAAAATACAGGCCACACTCTGTGCCACGCTCCATGGCTACTGCTGCATGCAGCCAGTGTTATCTGTCGCAGTCCCCACACTGCATTTGTGGCTGGTGGCTGGTGTGCTGTGTGACAGATACAGGTCTCAGTGCTACCAGGCTACTGGGGCAGGGGAAGTGAGGGGCCCTGAGCACATTTGTAGTGGGCCAGTGGGGTCATGGGCATGAGCAGCCGCCCCCACACACCGAGTGAAGCAGACATGCACACCTACGCCTCCTTCCTCCCTGACAGCAGTGTCCTGTCCCAGCTGCGGTGCGCTCAGTGCCACAGCCTCACCCCCAGTGCAGACCGTAATGTGGATTGGGTTCCCAGGCAGGCTATAAGCAGAGCAGAGGCAGGGTGGAGGCTCCTGAGTGGGTGGCAGTGCCGTGGGGATTGGGATCGGCAGGGTGTGGAGCTCCAGTGGCTCAGGGCTTCCCTGCAGGGATGAAGCTGCCACACCCCATCACAGCTGAGGACCCTAATTATACCTGGGTCCCAGTCCAGGCACTAGGATTGATCTTCCTGTCAGCTGAGATGAGATTTCTGCCACAGAGAGCTGGGATTGCCACAGGGGGACATGGCTGCGTGATGCTGGCACCGATGGGCTGGAACGTGGGAGTTGGCACATGTGCTGCCTGTTGTCCGGAGAGCCGTGGTGTTGGGGAGGGGTTGGTGGAGGGAGGAGACACATTCACCGGCTCAGAGGCTCCAGAACCTATGTCTCTCATGAATAAATAAAAATTTAAAAAAAGAAAGAAAAAAGAAATACAGAACCTGTCTGATGCTGTGGCTTAGGCAGGGCCTCGGCCCTGGGCTCACTCTGGGACTAGAGCCTCAGAGCTGCTGTCATACCTGCCACCCCTTATGCCACACCACATCTCTGGGTGGCCATGGGCTTGGGGCCTGGGCAATGACTGTGCCTGCCTCTTGCTCGTCCTTCATCCATGACCTCATGGTGCCCAGAGTCGAGTTCTCTAAAAGCCACTAAGGACTCAGCACGCCCTCAAGAGGGTGGTGCTCAGTCCTGGCACCAGGGAACCTACTCTGGCCCTGGGTCCCTACTCCCTCCCTGCTCCCTAAAATACAGATTCTTTTCTCCTGGCAGGGCACTGCCTCTCAGGCAGGGGTCTCCAAGGGTGGAGCAGGAACCCCAATAGGCGGGCTGGCTCATCCGTGTTCACTGTCATGTCTTCTCTGTCATTGTCCTCATTGTCCTCATTGGCCTTCACTCTGCTTGTTGTGGGCTTGCTTGGAGCCCCCAGCCTGTGTCCCTTGCTTCCTGCAGGCCCACATGACCTATCTGAAGCCATTCCAACCCTCCATGGGGGCTCAGATGACCAGAGCCCTGGTGTTCCAGCAAGGATGTTGCTTTGGGCACACAGCCCATCTGTGTTGTTGATGTGGCGGTGATGGGAGCCAGGTCCACAGAGCCCCAGGTCCCAGGCAATGGAGCTCAGCACCACCACACGTCTGTCAGCCCAGGAGGAACCCCACAGGCCTTAGGGTGAGGTCATGTGCCATCCTCCAGGACAGGAGGATGGGCCAGGGTGCAGGCAGTCAGTGGAGGCACAGGGAAAGTTTATTACAAGGAATGACTAAGCATAACAAGGGCTTGCTAGTGTGTCGAGGACTCAAGACCCAGGAGGAACAGATTCCAGGGCAGCCACTCCCCTAGAGCTGGGATGAGCCCGGGGCCTACACCTCTCAGGGGAGGCCCAGCCCTGGCTCACAGAATGGCAGGGAAGTCACAGGAGCCGAGCTCATGGGACTTGCCGGGAAGGCTGCTCAGGGGCGGTCTGGCTGGGACCACAGTGGACCATTGCTCACCAGAACCAGGATAGAAGAGCTTTTCCTTGTTGTCTGGTTATGTCTCTCCAGCACCTTCTACTTCACATCAGACCATGTGGCAGAGGAAGCATTTTTGAAGAGTCCGCCTGTTTCTACCAAGTGGGTGATGGAGGAAAATTTGAGGCAGAGGCAGTGACTTGATGATCAGTGTGGGGAGGGGCCAAAGGGCGGTGGTGGCTCTTTCTTTTCCATCACTTCTTCTAATGACCGCTGTTCTGATTTCTGCTTTCACGCTTCTGTGGGGGCACAAGCTGAGTGCCGCACCTGCTGGTTCTAGAGCCCCAGTATGTTGTCCTAAAGGCACACTGCTTTGTAAGAGGACCAATCTGGCGGCCTCCAAGGCCTCACTGATAAATGATGGGAATCCAGGCATTTCAGTTCAAGGTGGGAAGGAATCCAGGCATGAGCTGTGGTGTCTACTCCCTGAGGAGGACAGAAGCAGAGGTCCAGTTTGGCTCAGGTCCTGCTCTGTGGCTCCCCCACAGAGTGCCCGTGGTCCCTAGACAGGCGTGGGGCAGGGCTCCTGGGGCTCTGCTCTTACATGACTGTGTGTACAACAGCCCAGCAGCAAATCATGTGCTTCTGCCCTGGCCCCACAAGCTGTGAAGCCAGCAGGAGCTCTTGGACCCTCTCTGCAATTACCTGCCTCCTCCCCCGCACTTCCCAGTAGAGGCAGTGAGGCTGCAGCCCCATGGCCATCGGCAACCAAAAGTCCCAGATATGCCAGCCTCTGGCCCTGTGTTCACCTCTCAGCTCCAAGAGCCTGGCTTTGCTGCTCTCCCATCCTGACTTACTTCCTCCAACACCTGATGTTACCTGCTTCCTCTTCCACGGCCCCTCCAGTGTGGGCTGCAGGTGAGCAGGCTGGGTTTGTTGCCATGGTCTTGGCATGTGGGGGCCTGTCCCCTCGGAGGCCTTCAGGTTGCTGACATGCAGGTCAGGAGGCTCTAGCAGAGGCACAGGGCTGGCATGGCCAGGTTTCTTTCCATGTCCCTGATATCCAAGCAACCCAAACAGCATGACCCTTAAGGCTGGGGGTTCTTGGCTCCTCTTAGCTTGCTGTCCCTCACCCTCCACACACAGCTCTTGGCTTAAAGGCTTCCCCTACTCTGGTGGGCAGGCTCTGCCATAATACATGATAAAGGCTTTGCAAGAATGGCTGATATCACAGAATTCCGGATGTACAAGTTGGCGTTGTAAAATTTTGGCATTGTAGGGCTGGAAGAAAGAGCCCTGTGCTGTTGTGTACAGATGTGGAGGCAGGCCTAGCTGGGGAGGGCCCTGAGGGCATGCAGAAGTGAAGTGTCCTCCCAGTGCCAAGTCCCTGAAGCCCTTCTGCTCCTGCTCCTTGGCTGCTACCCTCCAGCTGGCAGGTTTGGGCAGTACCTACACACACCCGGTGCACAGACCCATCCAGCTTCTCCTGCCAGCACCTGAAATGTTCTGTCCTTGCTTCCTAGCTGGGCCGAGAAGCATGATAACTGGAGATTTCAGAAGACGAGGCAGACCTGGCTGCTACTGCATATGTACGACAGCAACCAGGTGTGTGTGCACTGGGGGGAAGATACATGTACATGCTGGTGGGGGGGGTGGGGCAGGTGTGTGTGCACATGTACAACAGTAACCAGGTGTGTGTACCTGGTGGGGAGGAGGAGAGGAGATGTGTGCATTCCCAGGGACATAGGGATCTCCCAGATAATAGTCTGTGCATACTTGGGGGTGGGGGTCAATGTCCCAGTGACCAGGATGGCAGGGCCTGCTTAGGCCACGGGAGCCTGAGGCTTCCCTTCCAGCAGGGGCTTGGGAAGGGCAGGCCCCCAGCAGCCAGGCCTGGCCAAGACTATGGTTAAGAAAGAGGCCCTAGCACTTGTGGTAGGAACCCTGCCAGGGGTCCCCAGTCCAACCCCTGATTTTACAAAGGAAAGGATTTGCTTGGGGCTGTAGAGGAAGAATCCCTGCTTGTTCAGGGCAAGACTTGGGCCAGGGGCTTGCGGGCTTGGGTCCTGGGATGTCAGCCTGCCTGCTTCGAGCTGAACCTTCCCCAAGGAAGCTGCTGACCATAGGGGAATTGTCTTCCCAGGCGCTCTTGATCCAGGGGTGGGTGGAGTGGTGTGGTATAAGAGATACTGTGTTACCCCCAGAATGCTGTAGTACCCTCTTCCTGCAGATGAGCCAGGCCTCTCATGACCACCATGGGCTCTACTGGTTCTTACTGGCATCCATGGGCAAGGGTCCCATCTGCAGTCACGTTTGCTTGTCAGTCCCTGTCATTTCCTTTAGCTTGGATCTTCCTTCACAACCTTGGTGTGCTTGGAGAGGCCAGTTATCACAACCAGGGGCGGGTATTTGTGTCCTCCTAGCACACCCAGGAGCAGGTACAGGATGGTTTGATCCTGATGTAAGTCACATGATTCAGGGGACACCTGCTGGGTTTGCTCCTGTGGTGATCTATGGAGCCGTGTCTGTAGAACTGCTTTGAGATTATGCAGACACCCCGTTTCTCATCCCACCTGTGTCCATTGGTCAAGCAGGAGCTCTTGTCTGGGTCAGTGGTCACTGTGCACACAGTGTGCATCCTCCTCTGCATTTGTCAGTCAGCATGCTGCTCTAGGGGAGGGCCTGGCTGCCTCCCCTGTGATGCTGCAGGGTCATCCCTATCAGTGTAGATTTTCTCACAGGTGGTCATCCCTTGCTGCCATCGTTTGTTTTGACAAGTATAGTTTTCATTACAACTGTGGTGGCTCTAGGATGGGGAGGTTGAGGGTGCCTGTCTGCACATGATGGGGGGAGACCTCTGTGGAGAAAGCACCTAACAGCCACAGTCTGAAATGAGGCTATGGGTATGGCAGGGTGGGGAGGGCAGATGTCCACACAGATGCCAGGGTGTTGCAGGAGTCACAGGCTGGCAGTGTGACCTGTGGCAGAGCCTCACTTCGGGGCAATGACACCACATGCTTTCCCTGTGACCCTACTGTCCTGCACAGCCCCATGGCAGCTCTCCACTCCCTGCAGCTTGGGGCACAGACTTCTGTCCCCAGAGCTCTTGGGAGCAGATATTACACACAGGGAGCCAGCAGGAAGCTATGTGCAGAGACCTCTGTGCCCTGACCACCCGTCCCAGGTCTGTGTCCCCCCACCCTCCTGCTCCCTGGGGCTGGAGCTGCTCCTGCACAGAGGTTCTGGGCAGTGACCACAGACCAGGCCACTCCCAGCCTTTGTAGACACACTGCTTCCTGAGGGAGCCCCAGGGCACCTTGGGAACCACTGCTGCAGCCAGATGGCCCTTGCTTCCTGGTTATCCCCATCCCCCTGAGGCCACCTAGTCATCACAGCAGTGCGAAATGTGCTGGGGAGAGGTCATAATTTTGATGAAGCCTGATTTTTCTATTTTTTCTTTTGTTGTTTGTGTTTTTTTGTGTCATAACTAAGGAATCATTGCCTAATCCCAAGGTCAGGAAAACTCTCCTGTTTTCTTGTAAGGGTTTTTTAGTTTTGTTCTTGCAAATTTGGGCCTTTGACCTATTGGCGTTAACTTTGCATGTGGTGAGTTAGGTGTGAATACACACCATCCATTGAATAGACTGTCCTCCCCACAGTAGATGGACTCGGTAACAGAAAGGCGGCCCAATTTCAAAATGGACAGAGGGTCTATGTAGATGTTTCTCCAGATCAGATGATTCAGGTAGCCAGTGAACACCTGCAGAGGAGCCCAGCATCACTGGCATTGGAGGAAACACCCACCACACCAGGGTGACCTCTGTAAGCAAGGACAGCCAGTGATGCCTGTTGATGAAGACACAGCTTCCCTCCAAGATGTGCTGCTTATAGCATCTTATTCCTGTGTTATGAACGGATCATATCTCCTTATCTCTCTGAGGATGGTAACAATACAGTTGCGATATCTTCTCTCTGTATAACTTTTATTTTATCCAGGTTGCATGGTGTGTTTGCGTGACCTGGCCTCTGACTTTGGAATCGGAGGCTTTGCTCAGATGTGGTACCCTGTGGGTGTAGCCAGGGCTGCAAGCACCCTAGTGGCCTGTGTGCTTCCGTGCCAGTTGATAGGCTGGGCTCAGGATCTTGGATCTTCTCTCCTGTATTCTTAGATTTCAGAATAGAATCTGCTAGTCTTGCTGCTGGACACAGGCTTGGCTGTCAACACTATGGAAGCTGGTGAGGGGGTGGGCAGCCAGTCGGCGGGCAGCGCATGCAGGAAGGGGATGGGGACAGCATGGAGTAGAGGGCAGTGCGAGATGAAGGGAGGCAGCCTGTGGGAGAGCAGTTGGGAAGGCTCCCCCTCAGTAAGTGAACTTTCGTGCCCTCTCCCTGTGCCCAGCAGTGTGCCTAGCCCACCACACTGGAGTCCCTGCACTTCCTGTGTCAATGGCTGTAGGTGCTCTGGGTGATCCATCTAGGAAGCCCTTGCTGAAATCCCAGGTCATGAAGATTTTCTGTGATGTTTTCTTTTAAGAGTTTATTAACTCACACTTCTAGGTTTCTGACCCCTTCTGAGCTGAGGTCTGAGTACAGTGTGAGGTAGGCTCCAGCTTACTGCTCTTGCACATGGACATCCAGTGGTCTCAGCCCCGTCTGTTGGAACCACGGCTCCTTCCCCATCAAATGGTCCTGGTGCCCTTGTCAGAACCAGCTGACCATGGGTGGAGGGTTACCACCTGGGCCTTAGCGCTGTCCCCTTGCTCTAGGCATCTGTCCTTGCCAGTGCCTCTACCTCCACTACTGTGGCTTCAGACTTGAGATGGGGGGGTGTCACTGGCAGTTCTTAAGTGGATCTGGCCATTCCTTTGCTCTCGCCTCTGGACAGGACCATCTGAACCTAGAGTCAGGTGGGTGGGGGTGACAGCAGCAGAACTCGGTTTTATCAGCATGGGCTTCATCCCCCTCAGACCTCCATTCTTTGTCCTAGAAGTCTCTCTCCTCACTAACGTGTGTTTACTTTTGGCTTCGTGACATTTTGGAGGGGGTAGGAACCCGTGGCTGCTGAGCCTGAAGCCAGTAGAGGGAACAGCCTAGGACTGGGAGAGGGTCACTGCAGGAGGCCCGCCCTTCCTCCTCGCCTCCCCAGTCCCATGGTCTTGCAGACCATGGACAGAACGGGAGCAGGTGTGTTGGCACAGGCCCTCCCCCACCCCACCTGTGTAGTTGGCATACCAGGGACTGATGTGGTGCTGCTACCTGGCCGCCGAGTTCTGCAGGCTGTGCAAGGGTGGGGGTTCCTCTTGCAGGCGCAGGGGTGCAGCTGCTGGGCCAGGAGTCCTGCCTGGAGCTTGGGGCCAGACTGTGAACACCTCGTTTCTCCACTACTCAGCATTCACGCTCCACACGCTACCCTGCCTGGTCCCTGACACCCTAATCCTCTTCCCACCCCAGGTTCCTGATGAGCTCTTCTCCACACTGCTGGCCTACCTGGAGGGGCTCCAGGGCCGGGCCCGGGAGCTGACAGTGCAGAAGGCAGAAGCCCTGATGCAGAAGTTGGACGAGGCTGGCGGCATGGACCCCCTTCCTCAGGGGAAGACCCAGCGCATCCGGCAGGTGCTGCAGTTGCTCTCCTAGGGGGGTGGCCAGTGGGCCAGGGCCACTCTCAGGATGCAGCTGGCTGCTGCCTCCCAGAGGTGCGGCCCCAACGAGGGACAGGCAGGCTTACCAGCAGATCAGTGACCAATGGGCCTGGGGACTCCCGGGTACTGAGTCCCCGTTCCTGCTGGCTCCTGACCCTTGGAAGGACTAACTCTGGCCAAACTGTTTATAGATGATGATGTGTTTTCATCCCTTAACAGCAGAATATGACCACTCCAACATAACCTAGAGATGCCATCCTGGCTTCAGGCCCCCAGGGAAGTTGCTTATTGAAGAAAAGGTCTATTTTTCTACTGGAAATGTCTTAGAGACTGACCAGGGCCAGCCCTTCCCTCCAGCTGTGGTCTGTGCCTGGTGGGGGGTGAGAGTGCCTCTCTGCTGCCGGCTACCAGCGTCCTGGTCACCTGCCTACATTCTCCAGTGGGTCTGGGCCGTGGCTCGCCCATTCCTCACCTCCCTCCTTGAGTCTGCTGGGGCCTCACTAACCAGTCCCGAGGAAAACCTGGCTGTGTTTTCAATAAAACCGGCCATGTCTGTTGGCTATGGCTCTTATTCTGTGCATCTTATTCTCGTTTGCCTGTCCCAACTGTGAAGAGCTTTTCCTGAGCGTGCATCAGGCTGTGGCTGAGGCCCCCCAGGACGGCATCCCGGCAAGCTCCCCATGTGGCACAACTGCCTCTTGGCACTGAGCACTTGCTCTATAGGCCTCTGTTTGCAGATACTGGCAGTGACCATATTGGCTGCCCTCCCACAGCCACCCCAGCAAGGAAACAGGCCTGCTGTCTGCATAAACACGGGACATGCTCGCCCCATTCCCAGAAAACCACATGTGCTGAACTCTCTCAAAAGTCACTTAGGGCATGGAGGCCCACACCTCCTCTGCTTGGGCCACATGCACAGAGCAGGCCCGCCCTTCCCAGGACCTGTGGATAATCTCATAGGGCTGCAGACAAGTGTGGTGGTCTTAAAACTTGTCCACCAAGGCTTTTGATGCTCTGCCCCTGGAACGTAGCTCAGCTTCCAGCATGGGAAGAAGCAGAAGTGATGCTGTGTGATCCTGGAGCAAGGGCAGGAGGAGGAGGCAACTGGTGCTCTCCCAACGTTTGCCCTTGGGACTTGGCCCACTGACATGGGATGCCCCAGTCATGTGAGGAGGCCACATGGGGGGTGCTCAGGTGCTGATGAGTCTGCAGATGGCTGCTGCCCCAGGTGACATGGGCTGAAGCAGAGATGAGCTGTCCCCACCACGTCCTGCTCATGTCACAGGTTTATAAACTGTATTCCAGGGGCGTGTGCAGTGGGTAACCAGGACACCATGAAGCTTGTCAGGTGACCTGCTTACGTTGTGCATCACGGTGCTAATAGAGTCAAAAGGCTGCAGGCCTGTGTGTAAACTCCTTATTCTAGGAGAAGGCCGGGGGCCAGCCAAGCCCCCCAGCACCATCCTCCCGAGCGCTGTCCCTTCCCAGCTGTCCCCCAGCAGTGCCCCCTACCAGTGTCGCACCCCCCACAGTGCCAACATCCCCAGCAGTGTCCCCCACAGCACTGTCCCTTTCCAGCTGTTCCCCCTGCCAGCATCCCCTCCCAGCGATGTTCCCCCCCCAGCAGTGCCCCCTCAACACCATCCCCTCCCAGCGCTGTCTGCCCCCCCCCCAGGCCATCCTTCCCCCAGAAGTGCCCCCCACCCCCAGCACCGTCCCCAGCCTCAGGTTCTACGGTGACTTCAGCTTCAGTCATCATGAAGTACCTGTGCCGAGGGACACTTCTGAATGATGAGGTTAGGGCCTCAGGTGCATGGGCCCAGGAGCACCCCACTACTTCAGAGGGGCCTGGGCTGGTCCTTGGGCCTACCCTCGTCTCACCTGTAACCCAGATCCCTGGGTTCTCAGGGTCATGCTGCCCCACCTCCCACCCAGCACTCACACCTCAGCGGCACCCCTGTGGTAGGGGTGATGCTCCACTACTTCCTGGAGGGCATTTGGCCCTGGCCCCCATCCACTGGTGCAACTGGAATCCCTGTCACACACATAAGCATGTGTCCAGTTCTGGGTGGGAGCAACTGGTCCAACCCCTTCTTTGTCCCAGGTGGCTTCTGGAGACAGATGACAAGTCCTGACTCCCTAGTACCTGTCAGGTGAGTACTTGAGCAGAGAACCCCTCTGGCACCAAGAGTCGGTGCAGGTCTGTGAGAGCATTATGGCACCACAGACAATCTGAGTGCCAGCCTGGCTGTGTCCCAGCTTTGAGGCACCACCCTGAAAACTGTTCTGAGAACTAGACATAGAAAGGAAGACCCATAAGATACAAGGAAAGGGCAGATTTTTTTTAAGGAATCAGCTGATTGATCAAGAACCATAGCTCTGGGTTTCTTGGCAGCCCCATTGGAAAGGGAAATGTGATGGGTCCCAAGTCCTCATTTTCTGTTGCTAGAAACGGTGGGGATAGCAGGATGCTCCCCAATACCAGACGAGGGGGCTCTTTCCTCCCTATGAGCTCCTGTTGGAGCATGAAGTGCTGTGCTCTCTGGAAGGTACAGAGGGAGGTGACACATGTCACCTGGACAAAGCTGTCGACAGGCATAGGTGTGGGTGTGGGCCCAGCCTCAGTTGCTAGGGATGCCAGTTCGGTGGCCCTGACAAGGCGCCAGGGGCAGTGACGTGAGCAGGCCTGAGCCCTGGGGCCAAGCCACAGCGAGGGGTGCCTAGGGGCTGTCTGTGAGCCCCTCACTCACCAAGGCTGCATGGGGCCACTGGGCCAGGAAATGTCTTGACAGTGGCTGGTGATTTCCCGCCGACACCCCCCCACACACTGGAAATAACTCAGACGTCTATTGGCAGCTGAACAGGAAACTGAAGTGCACGGTGCTCACCAGTAAAAGGGAAGAAGCATGAATACAGGCCACCGCGGGGCACTGGGTGGGGGATGACAGGCCACAAAGGCACACTGTTGACACCACTCAAATGAAATCCTGGAGACGGTGGGCCAGCTCATCTGAGGTGACAGAACACGAGGCAGGGGCTGGGCGGACGCTCGGGCACCAATGTAGCCTATGGCTACCCCAGGTATGCAGGTGTGACACACACTCAACCTCCTTATTCACGACACCCCAGGGGGAACAGAGACAGGGCCTCTCTGCAGAGCTCAAGGCAAAGCACTGGGCTCTGGAAAGAAAACGGTAAAACAGGCTTGTTGTCACCTTAACATCTGTTCTCACCGAAGCTCTATGCCTCCATCACATAGACGGTCTCAAGCACCACTAGGATGTCAGAATAGGTGATGGGGGGATGGGACTTCGGGCGGGGGTGTGGGTGTCAGACTCAGCAGGCCCGTCAGCACCACCAACAGCGGCCTGCAGCCCCTACCCCCACCCTCCGGCGTAGCAGCCTTCCTTGGGCTTCCCTTATGTCTGGGAAAACATGACTTCCTATGGTGAGAAGTGGGGACCAGCTACCAAGTTGCCGCTCACAATGCTTTTCCTCCCCAGGTCCCAGAAGAACTGTCTGTTTTTAAATAAACCAGTCTTTATCCAGTGGGAATGTCTCTGACAGATACTGCCCTGCCCAGTGGCAGGCAGGAAGCTTAGGGCTAGAGGGGCCTCAGGACGTTAGGTGGCCACAGAACCAGGACTCTCAGCCCCCCGTGTGTCTGTCCCTACAGCGTGGTGGGCCCCCCTCTTTGCAGGGGGAAGGCAGCCCCAGGCCGGGGTCTCCATGTGATCGCTAAGCCAGGCCTGCTGGGTGGGGTCCAGGGCGGCCATGGAGATGCGTGTGTCGTTAATGTGCTGGTGACCTCGTAGGTCAGACATCAGACTTGGCACATTGTTCTCCTTCAGTGTATAAAATGCTTATTTTGTGTCAACTCCATAAAGCAGGGTGAAAAGGGATGGATATTCCCCAGGTTTTCCCCAGTCGGCAGCCTTGGCTCTCCTTGGTCCCAGCCAGCTGGCCCAGCCGCAGCCCTCACTTCACAGCACCTGGTGAGTTCATGGCAGGGGTTAAGGGAACCTGAGAATGGGGGACGCAGGGATCCCCTGCAGAGGCTGCTTGCCTCCCAAGCATTGGACCAGGCTGTGCGAGGGTCCCGCATGCACCAGCCCTGTGCCCAGCCCACCTCAGATCTGCATCCATGCCAAGCTGTGAGTACCTGGTGTGGGGACCCCAGGAAGCTCAGGCTCACATCATGGACCAGCAGGGCATTAAGATCACTGTGGGGATCTCATGCCAGAGCTGCCATGTACCCTCCACCAGAGCCCCCCGCCCTGTCCCACCTGGAGGACCCACCCTGGGGGAAGGGGCCCAGAGCAGCACATTTGTGGAGGGCTTTCCACTAGGATCTACACCTTCCCCCTTGGCAGAAAGGCTTCTCAAATTTGTTCTTGGCCAATTAAAACATCAACTAGTCCTACTGGCTTCTTTGGAGAAAACATAAAGTCACTAGGGAGAGTGGTTCATTTTGACACCTGTTCTTAGAAGTTAGGAAACACGTGGCTCAGGTTCTGCATCCTGCCCCTGCCTGAAGCCCACCAACGCGGGAGGTGCAGCAGACCCCACTCCTATGCGAGGAGTGGCTTCTGGAACCAAGGTCCAGGCAACACCGGGTTTGCCATAAAGATAGGAGACTTTCGTAACAGCAGCTTTTCGCTTGGAATGCTCACATTTCCCCTGTTCTGGCTTTCCATGTTCTCCCATCAACCCCGTCCCCAGCAGCCAAGTCTCTTCAACCCACAGCTTCTTGAAAGGGTTTCCACAGCCATTCTGGAATGTTCTGCGTCCTCTGAAGAATGCTGTCGATTTGTTCACTGAGATGAACTTAGGTCAGATCCGTGGTCCTTGCACCATGCAACTGCAGAGTAAAGTGGCCCGGCCCTCAGGGCAGGCTCCCGGACTCTCTGTGGGTGTCAGGTATTTCAGACAGAAGGAATAGAAGGACAGAGTGCATACTCCTAATCTGCCACCAGCTTTTCCTAGAAACAAACCCATACTGGCACAGTCCATCACCCCTCCCCCAGAACACCCCTTCTCTTCCTCCACAGGGGTCCAGCACAGACACGGCACATCTGGAAGCATCCGTGGTTTGAGGTTTATATGTTGATCACAACAGTCCTGGGCGGCTTCATTTTCACCCCTGGACATGGCTCCCAGGTAGGCTCACGCCCTGATCCCGTCGTTTCTCCCCTAGGGGGCACCCTCTGTGTACACTGGGACTGTGGGCCTCAGGGACCCCTTTCTGCAGCTGCACCGGGACTTGTCCCGATGCCTGGTTTATACTCCGTGGGAGCCTCCCCACAATGTTGCCAACACTTCACGTGACTGAAGAGCCCAGTGTTCACTGTGACGTGTCCACCCTCCCCCAGGGAGGCCCTCTAACCCCCATCTGCACGCCCCCTGTCCTGTCCTTCCTGGGAGGGGTTACGCCCAGTGCATTCCCCAGAGAAGGTGGTGCTGTCAGGCTAGCTACTCAGGCAGAATGGACCAGCATAGCTAACTCCCTGTCCCATCCTCAACCCACCCCTCCACCCCTCTGCCAGCTTGCCCTCTTGTATGCTCTGCCTCTGACACAGATAAGGTTTTGAATTTAAAAAGCAAAGGCTTCCGTCATGGGAAAAAAAGAGGATCCGAAGGGACCAGAGAAAAGACTCTGGAGTATGGCAGCTGGTCAAGAGGCTGCCTCACATTTCCTGCCAGCCTCCTGCACCCACCACCCAGAGCCTGGGACAGGGAAGGGTGACCAGGGTGGCCTAGAGCCACCATAGTGCCCACTCCATCCTGCCAGGCTCCCAGGCCACCGAAGTACAAGACTAGATAGCTTTGAATTTCAGATAAACAGGAAGTGGGTCGGTGTGGGGGTGTCCCATGGAGGTCCATAGAGAGCCCTTGCTGTGCACCCCTAACCTGGCATCTCTGGGCCCTGTCAGCCACAGCGCCTTGCCCAAGAACATCTCCTAGGGGCCTTGGTACATTTTGAGTGTAGAGAATGGAAGCTGGGCTTTGGGGTCTGTGCACCCATTTGCTTCAGGGTCCCATGAGGTGGACAGGGTCAATTGTGAGGGGGGTCCCAGCATCGTCCCTGCAAACTCCTGCTCATCCTTCCTGCTCAAGTTCTGCTGTTACCCCTTCAGGGTCCCCGATCCTCTGGGTGGCAGCTGTCCCTCAACTGGCCCATGTCCAGGGCTCAGGGTCCTGGTTTCACGGGCCCTGAGGAGTCCCAAGAACAGGATGGAATCTGCAGGAGCCCCAGCCATCCAGGGCCTGGCACAGCACAGACTGAACCTGCTGGGAATGCAGGTCTCAGGCTGGACTCTGAGTGGATGTCACCCTGCACCCCCAACTGCAGGTAGATCTCTGTGCCTGGGGGGCACCTGTTCCCCAATGGCCCTGTGGGGGAACTGTGAGGGTAGCATGGAGGGGGAGTGGGGAGAAGAGGCAGCGGTGAGCCCAGGAAGGCATGCATGGGGGTGTTGGGAGGGAGTGCTTCACTGCTGGAGTGTGAGGGGCACCTGAGGTACGACGGGTGGGGGGTCTGAGGGCAGAGGGCAGGGAGGGAGCTCAGCTGCCCTGGGGAGACCGGAGGAGGAGTATAGACGACTCCAGGTATGGAGAACTGAAAGGGGCCTGAGCCCCTAAAGAACAGGATCAGGCCAAGGAAGGGCTTTGGGGGCCCCATGAGGAGCTGTCTGTCTGTCCATCCACAGAGCACCTCAAGCCGGGATCTGGGGGAGTGACTCAGACCCTCCCCCAGTCTCTTTGGTCGTAGCCCCCAGGCCTGGGCACCGCACAGAGGGCCTGGGCTGGAGGCCGCATGGTGAAAGCCGGGGCGGGTGTGGTGTCCAGGGCATCGGGACTGAGGCCCGGTGGGGGCAGCAGGCGATACCTGTGGAGAAGACCAGCAAAGAGCAGGAACAGCTCCGACCTGGCCAGGCTCTCCCCCACACAGACGCGGCGGCCTGCAAAGGAAACCAAGGCACAGGCTGGGGGCTCCAGGCCTGCTCTTTGCAGGCTGTGCCAGGGAGCTGGCCAGTTTCCTAGAGTAGAGGGAGAGGGGAGTCTCTGGGGGGATGAGAGAGGGCTCAGAGTGGGGGCTATCTGAGAGCAAGGTCTGCAATAACCAGGATGCAGGCCAGCTCTGAGGCTACGGACAGTGGGAGGCCCAGCAGGCTTGAGCCTGAGCTTCTGAGGTCTCTGGTGACCAGGCTATGTGGGGGTGAGGGGCCCCATGCTGCTCCCACCTGTGAGGGCTGTGGATACCTGCAGAGAAAGGCAGGAAGGCTGCCCGCTTCACAAAGCGTCCCTCAGCATCCAGGAAGTGGCTGGGATTGAACTGGCGGGGGGTCTCCCACTGTGTCTTGTCCAGGAGCACAGAGCTCAGCAGGGGGATCACAGGCGTGCCCTGTGGGCAGTGCAGCAGGTGGGCCTGGCACCCCCTCCCCCGGGGGTGTGCACGAAGAGAGAGGGTCCCCCCAGGGGACTCCCAGCGGGGCCCACCCTGGCCCAGAGCAGAGGGAAGGAGGGATGGAGGGCCCTGCCCCCTGTCAGGGTCCAGGAGGGGGGTGCCCACCTTGGGGAGCAGGTAGCCGCCCAACTGAGTGTCAGCCGCCATACACCGAGGCACGTGGGGCAGGAGGGTAATGAACCTCTGGACCTCATGCAGCACAGCATTGGTGTAGGGCAGTGACCGCTGGTCCTCCAACTGGGGGGCCCGCCCGGGCCCCAGCACACGGTCCAGCTCCTCCTGCACCCGGCCTGCAAGTGAGAGGGTAGGCGCCAGTGTCTCTGGGAGCCTTGAGCCTCTAGGCCCTGCCAGACCCCCACCCACCAAGCAGGTGGCTGTGCGCTGGGAAGGGAGGCTGGAGCTCACATTGCACACTTGGGTGTTTGCCCATCAGGAGGGCAGCCCACTGCAGTGTAGCCGATGTGGTTTCTGTGCCAGCCATGACCATGTCCAGGGTGCAGGCCACCATGTTGGCCTCGGCAAACAGGCCTTGGGGGTCTTTCCCCTGCAGAGGTGAGTTTGATGGGACTTAGCTAGAGGTTAGGCCCCATGGAGCCCCCTATCCAGCTCTGAGCTCAAAGAAAGGATAGAAAACAGACTTGCTGGGAAGGCAGAGCCAAGTCCACTGAGCACCTACTATGTTCTGGGCTCACCACATCCTTGCAGCCACCTGTTGAGGCAGGCACTGCAAATGCCCATTTCACAGATGGGGAGACTGAGGCTCAGAGGGACCCCCCCAGCTGGGAGGTGAAGGGGTTGGTGCAGGACCAGCATGAACCCCACCCCCAACTCTAGGCCCCCAGATGCCCCCAGGCCTCTTAGGTGGTAGGGTGGATCTTGCCCATACCTGGCCCTGCTGAATCAAGGCATCCATGTAGCTCTGCACGGGGCCTCCCCCGGGCATGGAGGGCCGCCGCGCCTTTAGGAGGGTCCTCAGGATGGCTCGAACCTCCTCTATCTTCCGCAAGACTGGCCGGTGCAGCTGGAAGAGGGCCCCGAGCCAGGGGTAGATGTTGAACAGCTGAAGACAGAAGGCGAGACAGAAGCTGGGGTTAGGGTGGAGGCCCCAACCACACCCACACCCCACCCCACCCCCACCCCGCAGGCACGTTCACCTGTCCAGGTTCCCTCCCCAGATGCAGCCCCAGACTCCAGGCAGGCAGCCTGGGTGGGTCCTGCCCGTGGCCACAAGAGGGCACCCAGCTTCGTGTGCGGGCCCCTGGCCCTTCTGGTGGGAACAGCAGCGGGCGGGGTGAGGGTTGGGGGGGGTGGACTCCAGAGGGGACTCCCACAAAACCCTCTGTCCCAGGTCAGGAAGGGGGGCGCCGCTGGACAGGCCACACAACACACCTTGATGGGGTGATATCACTTCTACAGAGGGCTGTGGTCATGCCCGCCCTCCATCCACCAGAGCCAGTAGGATGGAGAGGGGGAGAGGGTTGCCTGTGTGGGAATAACTGAACCCTACTACCAATCGTTAAAGATGACTTTGCAAACCTCAGAGCCTCGCTGACCCTGCTGTGAAAGGGGGGTCATGGCAGCGTTTGACCAGGTTGTCTGAGGGGCCAGCACGTGCCCATCATGTAGAGATCTGCGGCTCTTGTGGGTGTGCCCCAGCGCAAATGCGCTCCCTGGATCGGATTACACAGAACGCCTCTGTGGTGAGGAGCTGGCACAGGGACAGAGGCTTGGGAACTTCTACTCCGACCTCTCTGCCCTCCAGCCTCCTGGGGCTGCCTGCTTCGGCCAGGAGGCCAAATCCTCCCGTCCAGAGGACGTCAGAGGCTCCTAGGACCGAAGCATGAGGGCCAGAGACTCTGTGGTCAGCCCTGGCCTCCTGCCCATGACCACGGGTCCATGAGAGGCCGGGAGCTATGACATCACCGTAAATACACACACCACAAGCAGATGGATGCGCTTAGCAAGTTATCACACAAATGGTCATGACAGCAAATACCTCACATTTTGGGAAAGAGTGAAATGCATGTGCCCCTGGGAATTCTGAATGTCAGCAGGCCCAGTTCATGTCATTTCTGTGAAGAACTCGTTTTGGGTGGATGGTCCCTGGGTTTAAGGTCTGGGAGGACAGGACACATCGAGGGAAGACATGCTCAGTCCCCATCCCCACCTCTGAGCAGGTACGTCTGCTACTGATGGGCAGGCGTGGGAGGGGGCAGATGGGGACCCCTGTCCTATACCCCCCTCATGCCCAGAGGGCACAGGGGACTGGCCTGGGGTCACATGGCCAACTGCTGTCAGAAATAGGACAGGCCTCGGGCCTCCTGGCTCTTAGTCTGGTGCTGCTTTTGCAAGGTAGCAGCTCACCTCTCTATGGCAGGGGCAGTGTTGAGACCACCCCCCACCCCAGTCTCAAGCCTGTGTTCAGCTCCCCGACCTCCACCCCAAGGCTGGGAGCAGCCACCTCTCACCTGCAGGCTGGGGGTCCCCAAGAGGACCATGACCTCATCGATCAGGCTCAGCAGGGACACAAACACAGGATCCTGGTAGTCGAACCGCTGGCCAAAGAGCAGTGTGAACGTGATGTTGGAGGGTGCCCAGCCGAGCAGGGCCAGGGGGAAGGGCTGACCTGGAGGAGTGGGGAGACAAGCCTTAGGGGGTGAGGGTCACCCTCCCCCCAGGAGTCTCCCTACCCCTACTCACCTCTGTAGCAGTCCAGCTGCCCCATAAGGCACCTCAGCTCCTGCAGGACGTTGTCAGCCATGGGCCCCCTCCCCACACCCAGGCCATGGAGGGTGCGTATGGTGAACTGCCGAGCGGCCCTCCAGCGTGCCCCTGACGAGAAGAAGATGCCTGCAGGCCAGAGGAGTTGCCCGTGAGCAGCCCCGGGTGATGCAGGCAGGGAGAAAGTTAGGGGCCTGGCCTGGGCCTCACCCTAGTGCTGAGCCTATTCTCCCAGGAGCTGACCTTGGCGAGCCGTGTCCATCTTGTTGTGTCTTGGTCCCCTGCCATGTGGACACTGTGTCCCTCCCCAGGACCCACACTGGGCACACTCTCCTGCTGCTCAGAGAGGCAGATCTCCCTCTCCCAGGGTCCAGGAACTCCCTTGCTCAGCTAGCCTCTGCCCCCTCCCACCCTGCACCGCACACCTACCCCCACCTCCCTGGATGAGCTGGAAGATGGCGATGGGGGGCCGGTCAGCCAGCTCTGGCCCCGTGCCCACCAGGGCCTCTCTCACAGCCTCGTAGCCAGCCAGCACCACCGTCTTCTGGCGCCCCAAGTGGACAGTGAACACCGGCCCATACTGTTCTGAGAGCTGGTGGGGACAGGAAGGAATCAGCCAGAGGCCCCACCCCCAAGCTCCCTGTGGCCCCCCCAGGTACAGCCCCAGCAGGGTAGGCCCTGGGGAGACTCAGAGCCAGGGATGGCCCAGGCGGGGTCTGTAGAAACCGACCAGCAGTGAGCATCTGTGAGCAAACGTGCAGGAGGTGTGTTTGGCTGGGGCCAGGTCCAGGGGGCAGTGTCCTGTTTGATCCCGCTGAGCCCCCTCCCCCTCCATTCCAGGGGTGGGGGTGGGGGCTGCCAGTGGTGCTGGAAGTACGGTCATGGCTTTCAGGGGAAACAGCAGAGAGGGCTCCTTGGGACCCCAAGACGAGGCGGGCAGTAGAAGGGGCTGTCTGCAGGGTGCCTTGCAGTAGAAGCCCAGGGTCAGCACAGGGAGCAGAGGCCCTGTCCCCACTCAGACCCCCTTCAGCATTGAAGCCCAGACAGGAGCAGGGAGTGCCCAGGCCTCGACTGGTCAGCTTGTCCCACACGAACCCCCCTGCCCAGCCTGGAGGCGCAGGACCAGATTGCACGGCAAGGGCTGGCCTCTGTGGCGCCTGTGTGTGCCTGTTCCCCTTCTGTGCCTTCACACATGGGGAACCAGACCTGGAGGCAAGATGTGAGTTGCTGTCCATCACGTACACTGAGGGGTGGAGCCAGACCTGCCCTTCCCATCCACACCCACTCTAGTCCCCGAATGCGGGACAGTGGCCCCTGGGCATGACACCAGGCCCGGCCTGAGAACGCTGGCACCCAGGGTACTTCCTGCAGCAGCTCTCCTAAGAGGCCAAGGCTGCAGCCCCTTCCTCTCTACCCACATGCAGCACCTGGGGGGCCACCAGGCAGCCTCGAGGTGGGTTTTGGAAGCAGCAGCACTTCTGGTGAAGGAAGGTGGAGTGGTCGTGGGAGCCGTGCGTGGTTGGGGCACGGTTGGCTGGGCTGTACTTGTGGGGGTCAGGCCTGCACCTCCTTTACCCGTGGGCCTGCCATCTCCTGGCTGCAGGGCAGGGCGGCCTGCTTTCAGCATGTGGCCAGGACCGGCCAGCCGGAAGCCCAGGCTGAAAGCAGCCACATCCAGCAGGTGCCCCCTACCCTGCAAGCACAGTTGTGTGCCAGTCTAGCTTCCTTCCCTCGCTGGACCTCTGCTGCATGGTACTACTCCTGGGAGCACCTGCCTCTTCCCCTCCATTGCCACCAGTCCTGGCTCTCCTGTAAGCGTTCATCAAATGCTGTCCCCTCCATGAGGCCCTCCTGGCCTGACACTCCTGGCCCTCTGCTCCCTCTGCTCCATGGCCTATCTGCTTCCCTGTAGGACGGGATGTCTTTCTCTTCCCCAAGGCAGGTTGGGCACGTACGCCTGCTGTGTCCCCTACCAGGCCAGTGCCAGGCTGGGACACAAAATTCCCAACCCATAGGGATCCTGGAAAACAGGCTCAGCTTCCCCTGAGATGGGTCTGGGGTGTCCAGGTGGCAGGAGCCCAACCTGCCCTGACCTACCTCCATCAGTGACTGGTCCTGCTGTGACACACGCAGTAAGTGCAGGTTTCCTATGAGCGGCAGTGGGCGGGGTCCAGGGGGCCAGCGAGAAGCTGAGGAGGGGGTGCGGGTACAGGTTCGGAGCAGCCCCCAGAGCCCCAGGAGCAGCAGGATCCCCAGGAGCAGCAGGGCCATGAGGACGGCAGGCGGCGAGGCCCCAGCTCCCCACCCTGTGCCTTATAGGCCGCTGGGAGGGCGTGCCAGTGCCTCACCCCCCCAACCCGAGAATGTGGACCGAGCAGTTTGCAGGGGACAGCCAGGCAGCTTAAAGTGACAGGCGTGTGTGGAATGTGGGGTCGCGTCTGTGGCACGGAGCCAGGGGGCCAGGGGCCGTCCAGGGGGCTGGCATCTAGGCCTCACGCTTGGGGCATTTTCATCCCTTGCCTGCCAGAGAGAGCACACCGTGGTGGCCAGTCCTCCCCTCCTGGCAGGGCTCTGCCTTCTGCCTCCGTCTCCCCATCAGAACTGGGGCTCGTGGGGCTTTGAGACACTCTAGCTCTGAGGGGAGCCCCGAGCCTCCCTCAGCAGGGCCCATGGAGTAAGATGTCCATGGAGACGCTGGTGATGGATGGCCCGTGAGGGTCCGCAGAGCAAATGCCCCAAATCCCAGGGCCTTCAAAGGCTGCCAGAGTGTCCTCTGTAGAGTCTCTGAGTGACAACCTGCTCCCTGGTGGCTTTGAGGGCACTGTCACCTGGAGTGGGAGGCACTGGCCTGGGCTGGGTGGGGCCAGGGGCTGGCTGGGTTTATGAGCCCCCCACCCCTTGTCTATCTGTACTGAACTCTGGTCCTCTCAACCCCGGTGCCCCGGCTGGGAGGGGAGGAGGCGCCACTGTGAAAAGGAGCCGTGAGCAGCGGGAGGGCTGCTGGCATCAGAAGTGGCTGGGCCTGCTCTGCGCCACCTGCACTGACATGAGGCAGCTGGAACCCTGTCCCCGCACTGGGCCCCTCGCGGTGGGGCCTTCTCCTGGGGATGCCGTCCATGCCCCTCCCTGCACGAACCCCAGCACCGAAGCAGCACCCCTTCCAGCCTCCATTTGCACACCTCCTGTAACGGGGTGCTTACTGTCTTGTGGGCAGACTGTCCCGTTGCACAGCCACAGGCTGCAGTGAAGAAGGACAGCTCTATCACAGCTGTGTCCCGATCATTTGGACTGAGTGCCAGGTCCAAGGCCGCTACTAGGTGCATAGGGTGCAGGTCCTGGATGCCTAGGACAGTCCACGTAATTGACCCAGCAAGCATTTATTGAGCACCTGTGTGTGCTAGGCTCCACCAGTAGCTAGGGCCACAGAAATTGGTGGTCAGGAATCCAGAAAGGGCCCCCCAGCAGAGACCCCCTCTGCAGCAGAGACCCACGTGGCAGTGGCTTTGCCACTGGAACACCTCGGGCATTGCAGCTGAGCATGTGAGTCACCAGGGGGAAGGGGATCCAGCAGAAGGAACATCTGTGCAGGTCCTGGAAGGAAACAGGAGCAAGCAAGGCGCTGGGTGGAGAGCTGTGGGAAGGGGTGAAGGCAAGAAGTCAGGGTCGGAGGTGGGGGCCTGTCCTCCATGGCCTCCTCCTTTGGGTGGGTGAGGCCTGGGCACCTATGAGCCACACTGCGTGTGAAGCCCACACTTCTTGGCAGCCACCTGGGAGCAGGCACTGTCCCCTTCAGGGTGTGGCTGTGTAGGCTGCGGGGGGGAGGGGGGGAACGGAGGGGGGACTTTACCAAACCACCCGGCTGAGCCAGTTCTTGGCATTTTACCTGCAAGACCCTTTAGCGCCTGCTGACAGCCTAGCAGGGTCACCCCCATTTCTCAGAAGAGGAAGGGGGCCAGGTTTGAGGCGCTCGCAGCCCCCCCGCCCCGCCTCTGGGTGTGCTGGGGGTGAGGGGCATCAGGGCAGGGCCCCCGCAGCACCCACCATGGTGCTTTGCCGGTATCCCACCCAGCGGGGCAGGGGTGTAGTGATGAGGGGTGCAGACTTGGGAACCAGACACATCGAGTCAGACTCCCAACCCTGTCCCATAGGCCCCGTGACTCTACTGGTGTTTCCTAGGATCTAGCATGGACAGGGCCAGCAGTGTGTGACTGGGGGACGCAGCGCAGGCCCCTGTGCACGGGGTGAGCCCACCCCGTGGGCCAGGCTCAGGTGAGGCCAGCCAGGTACTGGGAGCTTCTCAGAGCCCAGCCAACAGGGCTGGAGTCAAATCTGGGCCCTGAGGGTGGAAGTAGGGGCTTGGCTGTGAATCTCTCTGGCAACCGTGAGCGTGAGCGTCAATTCTTTCACATCCAGGCCTCAGAAAGACGTAGCTGGGAGGGGACCCAGCAGAGTGCCCCTGCCACTGTCTGGGGACAGGCCTCTGGCTGGAGCCTCAGGAAGCCCACCTGGCAGGAGTCCTTTCCTATAAATGGAGGTAGAATTTATGCCCAGTGAAGTCCAGCCTTTTCAGGGTACGGTTCTGCAAGTTTTTACTAACTCCTATGGTCATGTGACCACCCCCACGATCAATCTGTGGGGCAGTCCCATCCATACCCCCAGATTCCCATACCCCCCATGCTGATCCCTGCCCTGGCCCCCTCACCCCTGCACCTGTGTTCTGTTTCTACTGTTCCGCCTCCAGGGTTCTCAGTATAGGATTCACATGGTAGCACGGGCCACGGGGCGATGGGGGTCATGGTGCAGGACTCCCAGGGCGGCACAGGCCAGGGCCCAGGAACCAGGGAAGGTTGGCAGAGTAATGAGTGCGAGAACGTCCACATCCTCATTCCTGGAACGTGTGAAAACACCAGGTTCCACAAAAAGGGCATTAAGGTAGAAGGTGAACTGAATTTGCTGTCAGCTTATCCTAAGATAGGGAGACTGTCCTAGATTGTCCGTGGGGCCCGGGAGGGTAGGAGGCGGTGGAGGTGAGCCAGAGCTGGGGCCCTGTGGGGACTTCTAGGGGCTGGCTGGGCTGCTCCAGGGTTGTGGGGAGAGCCGTGTCAGACTCTGACCTCAGGCATGATGTTGATGAACTTGTGTTTTCAAGTTTTGTGAATGAGCGCTCGAGAGTCAGAGGCCACAACTTGTGACCTGGCTTTGGAGTTGCACAGTTTTGTCACCTTGGGGTGGGGGGTCCTGAGGCTGCCCCAGGTCCAAGGGGAAGGGCAAGGTTGTAGAAGGGTCTGTGGAGGTGGGGAGCAACTGTCCCATCTTCCCTCAGAGTCATCCCGCGTTCCCTGAGGGCTCAGGGTCCCTCTTCCCCGAGAGTGTGACCGCTTCTGCTGTGTCCCCGAGGTCATGGGACTCAGATGCCCAGATGCCATGGACCTGTTGCTGGCCAGGCCTTGGGAAACCCTTCCCCACGACCTCCCAGGCCACCTGTCCTCCAGCTGCTCATCCGAGGCCCATCCTCAGCAACTTCTAGGGAGTGCCCACCAACACTGGGGACACATCCTGCTGAGGGCCCCAGTGGCCCCATAGCTCACACCTGTGTGACCCCTGGGGCTGCAGTGAAACCAAGAACCACAGCTGGGCATTTAGAACCCCCAGAAATATAGTCTGGCAGTTGGGACCAGAAGTCTGCACGGGGGCTCATGGGCCAGTTAGCTGCTTGAGGGCTCTCTGGAAGGACCTGGCCTGACTCTCCCACCTGGCCCGCCATAGCCCATGGTGATCTCACCCCAGGATCCTCACCGCTTGCACAGAGATCGCTGGGCATGTCTTCTGCAGGGGCAACCAGTCAACCCACCACGGTGTCCAATAGGCTGTATCTCATGTGGAGGTGTTCCTGTGGATATTTATCCATTAAGCAGATGATGGACACACATCAGCGGGGGGTCCATAGCCCACCAGCGACCTCCAGTGAAGTGAGCCTTCTCCTCGCCATGCCGCTCACTCATGCGTCCTTTGACAGATACGCTGGCACCTGTGCTGCACCTGGTGCTGTGTGTGCCTGTTTGCGCTGGTTCTAATTTTATTCATGTGCAGCAAACAGCTCGTGTTCAAGCGAGTTTACATGTGCATGCAGCCATGAAACCTTCGCCAAGTTTGAGGGAGTGAACACCCCTGTCCACCCCAGAGTCTCCTCCCGCCCTTGTCTCCTTCCCTCTGTTCACTTGCTTTTTATTTTTGCGGTGACAGCGTGGCCGCATCAGACACCATACGGCTTCCTTGTCTCCTCTGCATTGTTCTGTCTCGTGGCCAAAAACATCCTGCTCAAAATACCTGTGTGCACATGTTGCAAAGGGTGCTGTCAAATCAGTTCCTAGAAAAAAAAAAAAATCAGTTCCTAGAACCAGAATCCCCATGCCAGGGGGCTGCTCCGCATTAGACTCTGGCTGATTTTCGCCCCACGCCGGCAGGGCGTTGTGCCCACTGACCCCCGCGTGGCCTGGCTCTCCCCATGATCCCCCCGTGGAGGGTGCTGGGAGGGGCCCTCGCTCACCAGCCCCTCTACAGCTGCTCCGGGTACTGCCCCCATCTGGTGCCAGTGCTGGGTGGGGGGCTGCTGGGATGTGCCCACGCCTCCAGCCCAGGCCAGCTTGCCAATTTTCTCAGCATAAAGAACAACTTTCAAGCTCAGCACTTCTGAGCTTCAGGGCTCTGCACATACCTCCTGGCTCCACCACATATGGGAACCTTCCTCCAAGGCTCATGGTGTCTGCCATGATTCTGTGCAGCGGGGACTCTTTGTAGGGGAAAAAAACCCAAACTGGCTGGAGTCGTGTACTGGGTGGAATGGCCTCCTACCACAATCCATGTCTCCCTAGAACATCAGAATGGGCTCTTGTTTGGAAAGAGAATCTTTGCAGACGTAACCAAGCTTAAATGAGGTCATCCCGGAATAGAGTGGCCCTAACTCCAATGTTGGGTGTCCTTAGCAGAGACAGAAGAGTAGAGGACATAGACACAGACAGAAGCCAGGTGACCCCGGAGGCCAAGATGGAGGCTGTGGCCATAAGCAGGGGATGCGGGGCAAGCAGGAGCTGGAAGAGGCGGGAAGGACCCTCCCCGAGAGCTCTGCAGGGAGCACAGCCCTGCCCATCTCAAGTTCAGCCTTCTGGCGTCCAGAGCCGGGTGAGAATAGGTTTCTGGTGGTTTGCCACCCCCCGCCCTGTGTGTGGTGTTTGCAGCCCCAGGCTCAAATAAGCAGTGTTCAGGGTAACTCCCCAATACGCAGAAATAAGGCAAATGGGTGACACTGTGTCCCTTCATCGTACACCTGAAGTCCTGGTCCAGCCAGCCTGACTGAGCACCATCCGACCCTCCCAGGCAGGGCCGTGTATGTGACTTACATTCACTTTTGACCAGGCCCAGGTGCCCTCAAGCCAGACGTTCACTTGTAGGAAACTAAAAAGCTGCAAGTGATTGTTTTTCCTGTAAAAATGCAAATCACTTCTGTCTGGCAGAAAAGATAATCCCAAAGATTATGGTTTATTGCCCTGTAAGACATTAACCTGTTCCAGGTTCAGCCGAGCAATCTGACTCTGGCATCCTCTCTTTTCCTCTGACCAGATGTGGATATATCAGGGTTGGGGCGCCCTTCCTAGAACCAGCCTTGCCATCTGGCCAAATTCCTTCATCCATGTGTTAAATTAAACTGACATATGCACAGTTTATATTGTTCTGAGAACTATGTTTTCATCCTTTCGAAAAGTATACTTTTGCAGCAGAATTTATTAAAGTGAAAAGACCTATGACATCTAGTTTCAGGCAAAGTTGGATCCAGGAGCTGTTCTCATGCTGTGATTTTGCCCTCCTCTCCATTGAGAGCAGGCTCCCGGCCCTTGCCTCTGGTTGGGGGCTCACGACCATGGTGGAGGCGGCCTCAGGCTGAGACCCCCTGAGGTCGAGTGACCCCAGCTGATGTCAGGCGGGTCATTTCCACCAAGGCCAGCCCACACTGCAAATTCTTGAGCAAAGCCAACAATGGATGTTTTACACCAGTGAGTTGGGAACGTTTGTTACACTGTGCTAGATAGCTCACAAGCTGGCTGCATAACCTGGGGCAAGAAAGTCCTTTCCCTGTGAGATGAAGGTAAGAACACCTCCTGAACCAGGTTCATCCTTCACTACAACTAACTGAGTGTCCTCTGTGTACCAGTCACTGTTCCAGGGGCCCCGTGCCAAACAGCCTCACACGGAGCGGGTTTCCAGAAACATCAGTTACTCCCCCACTTTTTGTATCCATGTGCTGCAGATAAAAATCCAAACATCCCATACAAAGCAATAATCATTTGCCAGGTATAGACATGTCAATTAAAAGCTGGCTGTCACCTCTAGGTCACTGGGCCTCCAGTGCTTCATTGGTCCCTCTAGGTTGTTGGAGGGAGAGGCCCAGGCCACCTTGGGGGCAGGGCTGTCCCTCTTTACTGCTAACTGGTGTGATCTAGTCAAGTGGAAAAGTGCTATTTGCTGGGTAATAAAAGCGTCTTTTGTTCACTGCCCTGGAAACATATTAACGAATAACCCAGTGAGTGGCCCCTAGTGCTAGCGCTTGCAATAGTCCTTTATGTGACCACATCAAGCTGCAGTTTTCCTTTTGTAGTTTCTAGTGGGCCCAGAACACTGGGCTGATTCTGATCAAGGCCTCAACAATTGGAGTGGGCTTTCCCTGTGGACCCCCAACGGACCCCACTGGCATTCAGCACCAGCACGGAGCTGAATACAGACGAATGCAACCTCAGGCACAGACATCCAGTGGTGCCTACTGAGGAGGCGCAGGCGTGCTGGGGTCCTGGCAAGGGGGCATCCAAGTTAGGCCTTGAGCAGGGGGCGCCCTGAGGTGGGGGCTGTGAGGACTCGTTGGCCTGGTACTTCTCTGTAAGGCCCTCAGCTGCTGGAACGGGCTCATTGGATCACATCAGGGTCTGGGAGAGGCGGTAGCGGGTGAGTTCTGTGGCTGAGGACCCAATCCGCTTAGGGCCTGGGACATGGTGGGCACACGCATGGGATGGAGGCATGGGTGCAGGCCAGAACTCTGGCAGAATCAAAGAACACAGGTGCACACTTCCTCCCTCCACATGAAATCCGGAGGCCGGGTTTGGAGAAGAGGAGTAGTTGCCCAGGGTGCAGGACTGTGGGCAGCTGTTCTTGGGAGACCTGGGGTCTCCACTTAGCCCTTTCACTGTTGTTGTGGTAGTAATCATAAGTGATTGCTGGAGCTGGAACCATTGATGATGCACTTTCATTTCATCCTAGGCTGAGCTGCATCCCCTGCCCCAAGTGAATTCAGATGTTGGCGTCCTAACCCTCGATACCTAGGAGGTGACTTTGTTTGGAAATAAGGCCATTGCAGGGACACCTGGGTAGCCTAGCGGTTGAAAGTCTGCCTTCGGCTCAGGGCGTGATTCCAGGGTCCTCCGATGGAGTCCTGCATTGGGTGCCTGCATGGAGCCTGCTTCTCCCTCTGCCTGTGTCTCTGCCTCTCTCTGTGTGTCTCTCATGAATAAATAAATTAAATATTTAAAAAAATAAAATAAGTTTTGTTTATTTACTCATGAGACACACACACACACACACACACACACACACACAGAGGCAGAGACACAGGCAGAGGGAGAAGCAGGCTCCATGCAGGGAGCCCGATGCAGAACTCGATCCTGGGTCTCCAGGATCATGCCTGGGCTGCAGGTGGTGCTAAACTGCTGAGCCACCTGGGCTGCCCCAATAAATAAATTAAAAAAAAAAAAAAAGGAAATAAGGCCATTGCAGATGTAATTAGGATGAAGTCCTTACAGTGGCCCCGCCCATCTGGCTGGTGTCCTTGTGAGGGGACATCTAGACACAGACACACAGGGGGAACCCCACAGGAGGGTGATAGCAGAGGCAGGGTGCACGCACCCACCCAGGAGCCCCAGGACTGCCAGTGACCATCCGCAGTTTGGGCACAGACTGTGACAGGGTCTTCCCAGAACCTTGGGGGGAGCCAGACCCGCCACCCCTCTGTCTCAGACATTGGCCTCCAGAGCTGATAGCAAGGACGCTTCTGCTGCTGGAGCCACTCAGTGTGTGGCCCTCACTCCCTCCTTATCAGGTAAGCCTTCCAGGCGCCTGGGGATGTGAGTGCACTTGCTCTTGGGCTTCTTGTGGACCGAAGCTGTGCGTCTGCTGGGACTCTCTGGACTTGTTTCCATATTATAAGGAAAGGACAGCGGGTCTCTGCCACTGGGCTATTGTGAGGGTCAAATTGGAGAACAGCGGGCAGCCCAGGGCATGATCCTGGAGACCCAGGATTGAGTCCCACATCGGGCTCCCTGCATGGAGCCTGCTTCTCCCTCTGCCTGTGTCTCTGCCTTTCTCTCTCTCTCTGTCTCTCACGAATAAATAAATAAAATCTTGAAAAAAAAATTGGGGAAGCCTGGGTGGCTCAGCGGTTGAGCACTTGCCTTTGGTCCAGGGTGTGATCCTGGAGTCCCAGGATCAAGTCCCATGTCAGGCTCCTTGCATGGAGCCTGCTTCTCCCTCTGCCTGTGTCTGTGCCGTGCTCTCTCTGTCTCTGTTTCTCATAAATAAGTAAAAATATCTTTAAAAAAATAAATAATTTTTTAAAAAATTGGAGAACAGCCCGGATGGGAGCCTTTCACAGCCCAGCGGGGGCGGGGCCTGCGGCGCGGGGGCGGGGCCTGCGACGCGGGGGCGGGGCCTGCGGCGCGGGGGCGGGGCCTGTCGCCCGGGGCCGCTGGCCGCTCGACGTGCTCGGCGCTCTCGCGGCGCCCGCTCGGCGCTCGGCCCGCCGCCCTTCGCACGGCGCGCTCCGCACCCCAGGGGGGGGGGCGTGCCAACATGTCGACGGCTATGAACTTTGGGTCCAAGACTTTCCAGCCCCGGCCCCCGGACAAGGGCAGCTTCCCGCTGGATCACTTCGGTGAGCGGCGGGCGGGCTCCCGCGCGGGGCCTCGGGTGCTGCGTGTCCTGGGGCGCCGTGCGCCGGGTGGACCGTGGCGTCCGCCGGCGGTGCAGGTGGGAAACTGAGGCCCGGCGCTGCGGGCGGACACGGACGTCACCCCGCGCGGGCGGGAGCGGGACAGGGCCCTGCAGGCCGGTAGCGGGGGCGGGTCTGGGGGGAGCCGGTGGAAGCCGAGGCCCCGAGAGCGGACTGACGGGCCGCGCGCGTTGTCTTGACGCACGTTTTCCTACGAAACGTCCCCAACGCGCTGTGGCGGGTTCTGGCCCGACCTGCACGCGGTGGGCGCGGCTTTCCCCCGCCTGCTGCCGGGCGAGCTGGGGCGGGGCTGGGGGGGGGGGGGCGAGAGCTGACCGGGGCGGCCAGCCCGGTGTCCGCGCCAGGAGAAAACGCTGTCTCCATTCTCCTTCTAGGTGAATGCAAAAGCTTCAAGGAGAAGTTTATGAAGTGTCTCCGTGACAACAAATTTGAAAATGCTTTGTGCAGAAAGGAATCAAAGGCCTATTTAGAATGCAGAATGGAGAGGCAAGTGCATGCTGACACACGTGACTTCTGGAACCTTCCGTGCCCCCGCTCCCAGGGGTCGTTGCAGCCTGGCTCGTTGAGTCCTGTGTCTTTCACAACAATGCAGTGGAGGCCTGCCAGGTTTAGTGTACCAGAAGTTGTGTGGCAGTGGGGGGGGGGGCCTCCCTGAGCGACTGCATTCCTCGAGGTATTTACTTTCCAAATTGGGGAGCTGCTGACCTGTCATTAAGGTTTCAGGATTGTACATCATGAAAATGCTGACTGGGCCAAAAGATTTGAAGGTTGTGGGTACATGGTTTCTCTCTTTGACGTTCTCAGATCATAAACATGTTTTGTTCCCTGTAGGGTAGGTTCGGCTGTGCTTGAAATGTGACAGGGGAGACAATAGGCGGTTTCAGAAATGATGAAAGACGAAGGATTTGTTCTGTCTTGAATGGAATTTACCAGAACTCACTTTTAAATAAAACAAATGTTTGCAACTTAGGATTCGTTGAGACTTTACTAAAAAGCCATTCTGGTCTCTGATGGGCTCATGTGTCGTTACATGGTGGGGGTAGAACCAGTATTTCTGCTGTTTGATCCTTTCGTTAGCTTGGTAAGGAATCCAGACTTCAGACGGCTTTGTCTGAGGATTTGGGTTGACATAAACCAGTCCTGTTGGAGCCCTGTGTCTACTTTCCCATGACAAACTCAGACATTTCCCTCCAGGCACCATCTTCTGTGTTTCTCAGCCCTACAGGTGTATGGAGGGCTGTCTGCGGACTCAGGGGACCCTAGGAATGGGCCCCTCACAAAGGCCCTCACTCTGTCTTCTGAGTTGTTCAGGCTCCTAGGGGCTTAGATTGGAAGCGGGCCACCCCACGTCATTACTGGGGCCCATGTGTTTAAGTTAACACGTCTTTTAAACATGGGAACCAAGTGAATTTCTTTTCAGTGCTGCGCACGTTGGAGACAGTTTGAAGTTGGTCTTTGTCAGTGTGTGATGGTGTGAGCAGGTCCCTCGCCCCTCTGCACCTCAGGTCAGTCATCCCCGTGCCAGCCATGGTACCCAGCACACCACAGGCCACTGCTCCTGCTGGGAGTTGCTCCAGAGTCGGGCTCTCTGGGTCCCCAGAGAGGCTCCTGGCTTGCCTGGTGGAGGACCAGCAGAAGGGCCCTGTCTTTTCTCCCCATTTGACCCTGGGAGTGAGCTGCCTGCTGTCTGTGTGGCCTTGCCCAGCTGAGCACAGCTTCTGGAGGCCAGCCTCCCCTGAGGCCTGCTGAGGTTGGGGGTGGACAGGGGGGATGCAACTGACCACTCTGTGGGCTCTGTTATTTCAAGTGGCTTCACTGGCTGGTCAGGTGGCATTAAGATAAATAGGGGGTATGTGTGTGTTTCTGACTTGGTCAGTGATTTTGGCTGTAGACTTTTGGGTTTGTTTGGTTTTGTTTTGTTTGAAGATTTTATTTATTTATTCATGGGAGACCCAGAGAGAGAGAGGCAGAGGCAGAGGGAGAAGCATTCTCCATGCAGGGAGCCCAATGCAGGACTTGATCCCAGAACTCTGGGATCATGCTCTGAGCCAAAGGCAGATGCTTAACCACTGAGCCACCCAGGTGTCCCTTTTTGGATGATTTTTTTTTAAGATTTTATTTATTTATCCATGAGCGACACAGAGAGAGAGACAGAGGCAGAGGGAGAAACGGGCTCCACGCAGGGAGCCCGATGTGGGACTCAATCCCGGGTCTCCAGGATCACACCCTGGGCTGCAGGCAGCACTAAACTGCGCCACTGGGGCTGCCCTTGGATGGTTTTATTTTTTATTTATTTTTATTTATTTTTATTTTTAAAGATTTATTTATTCATGAGAGACACAGAGAGAGAGAGGCAGAGACACAGGCAGAGGGAGAAGCAGGCTCCCCATGCCGGGAGCCTGATGCGGGACTGGATCCCGGGTCTCCAGGATCAGGCCCTGAGCAGAAGGCCACACTAAACTGCTGAGCCACCTGGGTTGCCCACCTTGGATGGTTTTAAGTGAAAATCTGCAACCACCTGGATTCAATATCAAGATTTTGCACATTTGCTTCTCCTGCTTCTTATAGATTTCTTTTCTCTTTTGTGCTGAAATCACATATATGACTTACCAGTTCATGCTTCTGTATGCATCTTGTAAAAAACTGGACCATGCAAGCTTTGTTTTTTGAGATTTTATTTTTTAGAGAGAGCGCATGTGAGAGAGCGCACCAGCAGCGGGGGCAGAGGGGTAGGGAGAAGCAGATTCCTTGCTGAGCAGGGACCCCATTGTGGGGCTCCATCCCAGTACTCCAGGATCATGATCCGATCCAAAGGTAGATGCTTAATGGATTGAGCCACTCAGGCACCCCTGGACCACAGCAGGTTTTTAAAGTTGCCTCAGGGCCTCTGGCCATTGTAGCCCAACATGGAAGTATGTGTGCTGTAGTAGCTGTGGACCACATTTTCTCACAGGAAGAGCTGTTAAATTTGGGATTACCTTGTTAATGGAGAAGGCAGCAAATACAGGCACGATCTGTATTCTCAAGCCTCTAATCATCTCACTTTGATTCCCATGAGGTAGGGTGGGCAGCGGGGGCGGTGCAGCCACATTCCAGAGTGCAGGTTCGTGTGAAGGATGGGCCTCCCGGGTGGGCTATAGAAAAACACAACAGATGGTTCTTGGCAAGTCTTGGGTAGAGTTCAGGGGGAGACCAGCAGGTGCTGGTCATTATTGTTCTCATACCCTTGAAGAACACACTGTTGAAAAATTCTATTGCCCTAAGTCATGCACTTAATGCCTCTAAAAGGACGACACTGTAGGGGCACCTGGGAGGCTCACTGGTTGAGTGTCTGCCTTTGGCTCAGGTTGTGAACCTGGGGTCCTGGGATCGAGTCCTGCCCATAGGGAGCCTGCTTCTCCCTCTAAGTTTCTGCCTCTTTCTCTGTGTCTCTTGTGAATAAGTAAATAAAATCTTTAAAAATAAATAAGTAAAAGAATGGCGCTGTAGGGAACAGTTGAGAGTGATTTTGCTTTCCGTGAAGATTCCAATGATCTCAATGTCTCAGTCCCTAAAAAACTGGACTGGAAATGGGATGTTTTCTTTGGTCTCTTTCCTTATGCTAATGGGAGGCATTGAAATCATCCCTTTGGCTTTAGAACTTAGTAAATGTTGTATTTGTTGTTTTTTATGACTTTGCCAAGGAGCTGGATTTTATGAAGATTTACAGATTTGTAGAAAGGATATCTTGAATTATGTGTTATTTGGCTTCTAGCTTTTTCTTCCTCATTCCTCATTTGTTCCACTAATCATGAAGGTCCTTCCTTTCGGGCCAGTGTGTTTGGAGGAGCACGCCAGCCCACGTCACGGTCTGTAGTGGGAAGTCTGACATGGCTCAGACTTTGGGGCTGCATTTGGGGCATGGACAGGCTCCATTCCTTATGGAGGCTCCAGGGCAGAATTACTTCCTGCCGTTTCCAGCTTCTAGAGGTGCCCATGCTCCTGGACTCATGCCCCCCACCTTCTCTAAGCCGGCGATGATGTATTTATTTGAACCTTCCTTTCTTCCCATCTGTCCCTGATTTTAAGGATTCCTGTGATGATGTTGTGTCCTGGTAATGTCACTCTCAGAATTGGCCAGTTTGCAGCTGTAGTTCCAGCTCTATCCCGATTTCCCCTCTACCGTGGAGGGCGACAGTCCCAGGCTCCAGCAATGAGGGTGTCGTCTGCAGACCATAGTGAGGTCTGAGAGAGGTCAGTTCTAAGAACTGTTGGCTAGATGTTGTCTTTTGCCAAGATGTGTGAAAAGGTATCATTGTTTCCTCACTTGGTTTAAGGAGTAGCACTTGCATCCCATTGCTATAGAATTTAATCTGCTTCTAGATTAAATTGTACTGACGAGGTTTGCAGTTCTAGGTTTGGTGACCCCCACCAGCTCTCTGGGTATGGCTATGCTGGGTCAGGGGGGTGGGGCAGGGGCAGCACAGCTTGCTTGGCGGCTGTGACCCGAATGGGCCTGCACCCCACGTGAGCTGGCATGGAGCCTTCTTTACCAGGACACGTGCCCAGGCCTATGGGACTTCCTGCTGCTCTTCCACTGGTGCCCCAGCCGCAGGCATTCACTGGTGCCCACAGAGTAAACCCAGCATCTTGTGGCCTTGGCTCTCCACTTCCCGGCTCCATGTCCCTTTCCCCTGGAACTTCTTGGTTCTCTAGATGGGAGAGGGAGCTCAGGTGACTGTGGGTGTCTGTCAGGTCTTAGCGTTTGCTGGCCTCGGTCCTGCTGTATTGTGTGGAGTAGCTGTTGGAGGGCAGCACACCTGCTTCAGCTCTGTACCCTGCTGCTTTGGACACAGTGCATGCAGGAAGTGCCTGGCGCTTGTGGAGATGCCTGAGCATTCTGCTCCAAACCCCTTTCCTACGATGCAGAGAGAAAGGCCCAGGGGGCCACTTAGCTCACCTGGGATGCTAGGTGGGTACTGCAGGGGTCACAGCGCCCAGACAGTAGCGAGGCCCCTCCTCAGGGCTTGTCTAGCTTGTCCACCTCTTCTAGGGACACAGTCCGATAATGCAGTCAGCCTGGCCTACACGTGGACTTTTTAAGTGGATTCTAGCTTTTTGTGATGGAAATTGCCAAGCACCCACACAGGTAAAGGGACGGAGTCCCCCAGTGCAGGCAACTTCCCCACTCCCGCCTCCATTGCTGGAGCCATCGAGGGCACATCCCCTCGCTCCCATTGTCTAAACAGTCATATTTTGTTCTTTTAACGGGGACAGCCTAGGGAGCCCTTATGAAGTTCAGATTGAGATTATCTCCCTGGGGATCCCTGGGCGGCTCAGTGGTTTAACACCTGCCTTCTGCCCACGGCGTGATCCTGGGGTCCCAGGATCGAGGCCCACATCGGGCTTGCATGGAGCCTGCTTCTCCCTCTGCCTGTGTCTCTGCCTCTCTCTCTGGGTCTCTCATGAATAAATAAATAAAATCTTAAAAAAAAAAAAAAAAGATCATCTCCCTGCAAGGTTTCGTCTTTCTGCTGAAGTGTGGCCCACTTGCACTAGGCCCCCCAGAACCTGCAGAAAGTGGCTTGTCTGACCAGGTGACTTGCGATGTCCCACGGTTCCCAGCATGCTGGCTGAGCTTGGCTGCCTGTGCTGGGCAGCGGGGCTGGCCAGGGAAAGGTATGGAGGCTCAGTGGTGGGAGCCTGGACACTGTGTGTTAAGTGATGATGGCCAGTGTCATGGGTGACCCATGTGCCAGCTGAGCCTGGTGGTTCCTGTGGGGGTGCTATGCTCCCACCGGCAAGGAGGACAGACAGATGGCCTCTGAGAGTTAGGATCAGCCCACCCCTGCCCCTAAAACAAAACAGAATGAAACTCCACCTTCTCTTTCCCCAGAATTGTAGGCAGTGGGAGGCCAGATAGGGGAGACTTTGGAGCTCAGCAGGCGCTCTGTGTGGGGCATCCCCATCTTTGTGGGCCTGTGCAGGGCCTGGGGCAAGAATGAGATGACATGGGGCCCACACACCAAGTGTCCAAAGTATTTCTGAGTTGCAAGTAAAGCTAAGGAATGCAGTGACCCTTGAACAGCATGCATGTGAACTGCACGGGCGTACTTAAGTGCAGACTTTTTTCGTAAATGCAGTATATACAGTATCATAAATATGTTTCTTCCTTGTGATTTTCTTCATAACATTTTTTTCTGGCTTACCTTTTATTAGGGTTCACTTATGTCATAGCTAAGGCTTCTGGTCAGTGGTATGCTATTGGTCTTTATGCTTTTGTGGGGCCAGGAGTTAAGGGGTTCAGCTGCATGGGTGGTCAGTGCTCCTAACTCTTGCATTGTTCAGGGTCATTTGTACCAGATACGGTCTGTCCTTTGTGCACTTGTCTTCTTGAGTCTTCACTGGGACCTAGAAGCCATGTCGGGGTTGGAGCCCTTGCACGCCTCACACGTCTGCTCCATACTGGCACCTTGGGGAGCGTCTCTGTGGTCTGCCTTCTCCCTTCAGAGCTGTACCCTGCAGCTGGGGGGCTTTGTGCACCGTCCACCAGTGGTTATCCCTCGTGGGTCCAGAGGTGCAGGCATCAGAGGAAAAGGGCGCAAGGAGCCCCTCAGGGGCCTGGGGGCCAGGTCCGGCAGTGTCCTGGCTCTGGGGCAGCCCCCAGACCTGTGGTTGGACGGGATGGGAGTGAACGCACAGGCATTGTGCAGACCGTGCTCTTCATTTTCTTCACTTCTTATAGGCAGCTGATGGCCCAAGAACCACTGGAAAAACTGGGATTTGGAGATTTGACCGATGGAAAACCAAAGGCAGAAACCAACTCTTGATGGAGAGAAGACCTCCTGCTGCCAGGTGGTCCAGAATGGAGCATGTCGACAGTTTACAGTTAGGTGCCGTGACGGAGAGGATTCCGGAACGCCCTCCTTGACAGACACATCTTGACTTTTTTTTTTTTTTTTTTAATGTGACACATCTTGACTTGATGTTTCCCAGGTTATTTTGAAAACTGACTGGCTTTTAGATCTCATTTCCCCCCAGTAGCGTTAGGTTTTATCTTTACATGGTGTGTGGCAGAGTTCCTGAGGAGACCATGGTGGGTGGGAGGTGGGAGTGCAGAGTCGTGGCTGCTTGGTGTAGGGACACGCGGTGTACATGACACGTGTGGTACTGTGTGTAGCTTCTCAGTGCTGGCGTGCTGTGTGCTGTTGGCTCCGGCCTCTGCCACAGACGCAGACATTGCCAGAAATCAAGCCTTTCCCTGGCAAACTGGTTTCCTTTTTGTGCTCTTGTGTGCTGGTTCATTTCCAGTTTTTGAACAAAGTACAGAATATGAACTTGGAAAGGAGAGATCATCTGCCTTTTGACATATTTGACTTGGTAACGTTTTTCTGGTAATGCCCGAACACGAAGTACCTTTTAACCACAGGTCATTTTCTGACCTGTGTGGACTGAATTTATAAAACTAGTTTAATCACAATGACCAGACTAATGTAACTGAGGAACAGGTGTCAGGACACATGTAGTTTGCCTTACATACGTGATCTCCTGTGTCTCCCTCTGGAAGAACACCCATGCTAAGGTATCATCTGGCAGAGGCTTCTAGGGCCTCTGAGCATGTTTCAAAGTGACAGACCTGGTGCCACAGCCCACAGCGCTGATGTTTGGGCAGCCGCCACAATTGCCTGAGGTTGTTTGAACCTCACAGGTATCCAAACCTCCAGCCAGGATTTCTGAGTAGTTTGATAGTGGCCAAGGTTCAGATCCACGAACAGAGTGACACACGTGTGTGTTGGGGGGGGTGGGTTGGGGCCCAGCACTGCCTTCCCTGGCTCTCGGACACTGACCCTAGTGGGAACAGCCAGCCACGACCCAGGTCTGGGCTCCCAAAAGTCACCATCGCTCCCTCCTTGGCTGTGGTGGTAGAGGCGTGTCCGTGTCCACTCTCTGCCTTTACATCCCTGTGTGTGCAGTCCTTCCATGGTGGATGCCTCTTGGCTTCGACCCTCCCTGAAGGAAACCACTCCACAGCTTTTCCATTTCCATAGTGTTCACTCTGCACCGTTCACCTGTGAGTAGTAGCAGTGCCTACTCCCCTCTGCGGTGTGTCACTGTTGGGACATAGTCTCTGTCTTTCACTGGAATTGCGCTACAGATCTTTTTCATGTTACTGCCCAGCTTATGAAAGGGCTTGGCTTTTATCACCAAACCAAGCTGAGCCATGAAACTAGTTTGTGTTTGCTAACCATACAGAATTACATGTGCGCGAGGTTATTGATATGGCATCATTTATAATTGCACAACACTAGAGTGACCCAAATCCCCATGCGTACGAGTCTTGGCAGACTGTGGCTCATCCATATTGTGGGGCTCAGTGGGGTTGAGGGGTGGGATCTGAAGTGACACAGCTGACCTCACACTATAGGCGGCACGTACACAAGAGAGAGGGGCAGACTCTAGAAGCATCTGTAGTAACGTTAGTAAGGAAGACGGGAAACTGTTAAGTATCTGTGTGTTTGTGCAGACATGAAATTGAGGAAGGACATGCCAGCCGCTAAAGAGAATGGTCTCCTGCATGCAGTGTAGCTCTGACTGTAAGCTGCATCCTGTTCCATGCGCTCAGAAATAAAGCAGCTAAGGGGACCCCACATGCAGCTGCAGTGGCAGCCCAGCCAGACATACATGTGGTTCCTGTCGTGGTGGGGGTGGGACAGAATGTGCCCAGCAGCTGTGGAAAGCAGAAGTTCGACGAGCTGGGGATGAGAAGACAGGTTCTAATCTCTGGCCAGAAGGTTTGCTTTCATCGGCTCTGAAAACGAGCATTCTAGGACTGGCGAACTGGGGAATGTGGGGAAGAGCCGGGTCTTGGGAGTGCTGGTCATGTCACAGAGAAGGTGGCTGGACAGAGAGATGGATTTAGGTGTGTGAGTGTATCAGGGCGCGCGCACACATCGGGGGGGCCTCAGGCCATGACACCTGCAGCAGGTACACCCTTGAGCCATGTAGGGCTGGAGCACCGCTCCCGACGGCCGGAACCAGGCTCCAGAAGGGACAGGGAAATCCAACCTGAGCTTGGACCGTTTTGTGTCAGAAAGTAAGGAATTGTTGGAAATAAAATGGCTTGTTGAAAGAACACAGTCCCCGCCAGGGATCTACACCTGGGCCACTTTGAACAACAGAATGTTGTACTGGGCTCTAGTCTCCAGAATAAATTTCTTCAAGTCTGCACTGATGCGAGAGTAACTACAGGAATGCACTTGTCTGCGGGACAGAGACAGCTCCTGGCAGTGGCCAGCCCAGTGCAGAAGCGGTGGTGAAGATAGCAGTCACACTGCAGTGGCAAGGGGTGTGGATGAGAACCCATGGGGTCCTGGAGTCGGGGCCCAGTGTGTTTGCCTTGTCTGGGGGCAAGCCCCAGGGCACTCCGGGATTCCCAAGGGAGCAGTAAAGAGAACTGTGCTCACCACTTGATGACCTGCCCAGTGTCCCCTCTCTGATGCCCTCCTGGAGTTTGTTTATCTCAGCCTAGTGAGCAGACCCCAGAATAAACAGACTTTCTGTGGAGTGAAGGCCAGTGCTCTTCACAAGTATCAGGGTCCTGAGACAAAAACTGTGTTGAGGAGGGGTCAAAGGAGACAGATTGGCTGCCATGAGGGCCCTGGGCCAGGAAGGATGGTGGCCACCAGCTGATTACCAGGATCCTTGGTTCTTGTGCTGTGATTATATAAAGTGTTATTTGGGGAAGCTGGGCATATGAACTCTGTCTTATTTTTGCCAATTTTTGGAAGTCTAAAATTATTTCAAAATGAAAAAAGTATTTTGCATTAAACTGTGTGATTGAACTTTCCATATGTGTGGTTGAGTAAATTCTCTTTCTGAAGTGCATTCAGTGGATTTTGAAGCAGGTGATGTGACAAGTAGTTTCAGCAAGTGGGGGAGGAAGCATGGGAGGAGAAGTAGCCCGGTGCCATCGTGCAGATGGCTGACCTCTTTACCACAGGGTGGCCGCTTCCTGGTGCGGCCTTTGATTTTCCCGATCTGAGTTGCTAGCAGCCTGGAGTGTGGAGTACAGACACCCTGTCCATGCCAGAGCACCTAGTCCTCCCCCTTGCTCCAGTAAAGCACCCACACTTGTTGCAGAAAGCCAACAGTGGTATTCAGAGGTTCCCAAAGACAACTTCGAGAATGTTTTCCTGGTCGCCCAGGCACATAGCTGCCACCCCAAAGATGAGCCCCTGGGGTGGGGCGTGCTGGTTGTACCACAGCCTCAGCCACACGAGCGCATCCAGGAGTGCTTGGAGTCTAGCACTGGGGTTCCCTCCGCCCAGCTGTCCCACCATCAAGAGCAAGACTCCCCTCTGTGAAATGTCCTGTGCTCCCTTAAGTCACCCAGACCCAGGGGCGTAAACAATATGAATTTATGATGTTACGGTCTGCAGGTCCAAAGTGTAAAGGGGCCCACAGGGCTGTGTTTCTTCTGGAACTCTGACCAGAGTCCGTTTCCTTGTCTTCCCAGCTTCTAGAGGCACTTGTGTTCCTTGGCTGTGGGCCCATCCTTCCAGGACAGCATCTTCTCTGTCCTGACTCTCCCTCCCATCTTCTCTGTGACTCTGACCCATCTGATGATACTGCCCACATGGAAACTTTGGGCCTGGACAGGCCTTGGGTCCGAGCTGCTGGTTGGTGAGTAGCTCACATGTGGTGCCCAGAAATGTGCTCTCAGGCGGTTGTGGGACTTTGCCTCATTATCTGCAGCAGCCTAGTCATGAATTGAATTTTCTCAGGGCTGAGTTTAAATCCCTTATTTTTCTGAAATCTTTGGTACTTGCTTTGCAGCTACTTCTTGCTGGCGGACAATAAAGAATGGGTATGAATGTGATGAACAGGATCAGAAGGTCAGAGCCAGCCATTGCACATGTGACATGACCCCATTCCTGTCAAGCGTTTGTTTCTCTAGACATTTCCTGATTTAATATACATGGGAGAAATATCTGGGATCCTCTACAGTGAATATTCGTTCATGATAGTATCTGGGTGGTGGGATCATCTAGATGTATGTGACTTGTCCTCCATGAATTTTTCTTTATGGATGTATTTTATAACAGGTGTGTGTCATTTAAAAAAAAAAGATTTTATTTATTTATTTGAAAAAAAAGTATGAGCAGGGAGAGGGGCAGAGGGAGAAAGACTCCCTGCTGAGCAGGGAGCCCGATGTGGGGTTCATGTGGGGCTCAATGCCAGGCCCCTGAGATCATGACCTGAGCCGCAGGCAGACACTTCATCAACTGAGCTCCCTAGGCACCCCGCATGTATCATTTTTATAGAAACAGATCATTAGTAGTTTGAAAAAAGCTTATTGTGTTTGGTTGTAATTTTATATCACCTATAAATTACATGCCTGTGGTTGTAATTTTATATTGTCTATAAACACAGCCCAGTTTATTTTTCCTGGTAAAACCGCTTTGGTTTGTATTGGGTGCAGTTCTGCAGAGCAAGGAGGGGAGGCCAGATGCCAGGGCTGGGGGCGTTATGGGCCCTCGCGGGGTGGGTGTGGCCGTCTGCTCTGGCCTCCCCACCTGCAGAACTGAGGTTGCAGAGCCAGCCCTCGGGCCTCCCCAGATGGGGGATGCCTTCTGTCTGCACCGCCTGCTCCATGCCGGTCTTTGCTGGGAAAGAACGAGCTCTGCCGTCATTCCACCCCCCTGGCATTTGGATTGTCTTTCAATGAGATTATTTATGGGTGAGAAAGCAGAGATTTTATTATGGCAAGAACTTTCAAGCCACAGGAGTGACTTTGTCGCTGCAACAGTCTTCCGGAGGAATGAATTCACATTCACAGCTGGCTGTGCACAGAGCTTTGTAGAGGGATGGGGCACCTCCTGGGACAAAGTGAAGAGGGTGCTGACTGATGACAGGGGCCAGCCTCCTGCTGAAGGCCTAGAAGGACGTCATCCACCAGCCTGCTTTCATTAGGAAGCCCGACCAGTGTCGTGTGGGGTCTGGTGGGCACTCAGGAAGGCGGGTGCCTGGGGAGCCTCTGCCCTTGTGTTGTGGTGCTGCTTTAAATACTGCTCTGCTGGCTTGTGTGGTGAGTGGGTCTGGGGGTGCTCAAGAGCAGGGCAAGCCCTTCTTGGTGCTGGCCCCACCAGACCCAGAGCTGTGGAGGCAGACAGGCTGGTGGGTCTAGTTTGTGTCTGCGCCACCTGAAAACTGAGCGACGTAACCAGAGCAGCAGACAAGGACTCTCATCCCCTTCCCCATTGAGGACCGTCCAGCATCTCCTCCAGGCTCCAGCTGGTTCTTTCTTCTTCCTGGAACAGGGCCGTTCTCCCTGGCCTGCCTGACGGCCTCATGCATGCCCTGTGCTCAGGGCCCGCCTTCCTCTCCTTGCACCTTGTCCACCACATCCTCTGCTCTGTACAGAGGATGGGGCAGCTCTGCTTCTGTGCAGGGGACTGATCTGCAGTCCCTAGGAACATCGGGTGGTGGGTGGGGTGGTCTGCATCCTGAAGGGCGGGGCCATGTGCCCTGGGTGGGCACATGAAGCTCAGAAGCTGAGCAAGTCCTGCCTGGTGCCTGGCCAGCTATTAGGCCTGGCACAGAACCCAGCAGCAGCTCCATCTGCAGAGCGGCTATCCTGACACAGATGTGTAGCTGAAGCCAGAGCAGGCTGCTTGTTCCTAGAGGGACTGGAGTGCATGTCTGTGCTGTGGTGTCTAGCCACACCAGCCCCTCCTCCAGTCTCTTGGCTGTGACCAATGGTCACCAAGAGCTTCCAGTCCCCCGGGCAATCTGGGGGCCAGGGGGCTGTACCCTGGCAGAGGGAGCATGCCCAGCCACTTCTCAGGAGCCCTGCCATTGTGGTTCAGCCCCTTATACACTTACTTCATGTGGACCATTCCCTGGCCCTAAGAGTGTCCTGTTCCCTCCTGCCTGGGTGCCTTCTCTCCTCCTCCTGGCGGACACCCTGATTCCTCCAGGCCAGGCTGGTGTCCCCTTATAGGGCTGCTGGCTAGGGAGGGGTGGGAGGTGCCCAGTGATTGCAGAGCACTTGGATTTGTGGATGTATTCCAGGGACGCTCAAGGAGCAGAGCTGAGTGTGCATGCAGCAGGCCAGGAGAACAAGATATGTCTGAAATGAGTCCTTTTGTCTGCTTCGTTTCTTTCTTTTTTAAATTTGTTATTGGAATATAATCCACATACCATAAATTCACTTTCGAATGAGTATAGTTCACAGAGTTGTGCATACATCTCTCATTGGATTTTTTTTTTTTTTAAGTAAGCTCCATGTCCCACATGGGACTTGAACTCACAATCCTGAGATCAAGAGTCTGAGCCAGCCAGATGCCTCATTGCCTGCTTGGTTTCTTAGCATTCGCCCTTTTTCTCCACGAACTTAGAAGGTAGCAAACAAGCTCTAGGAAGCTGTGAGTTTACCTCTAGGGCCTGGCAGAGGGGATACAACAGGAATTTACTGCCCAGGGAGATCTCTGGGTGGCTTAGCCGTTTGGCACCTGCCTTTGGCCCAGGGCGCAATCCTGGAGTCCTGGGATCGAGTCCCACGTCGGGCTCCCGGCATGGAGCCTGCTTCTCCCTCCTCCTGTGCCTCTGCCTCTGTCTCTGTCTCTCTCTCTCTCTCTCTCTCTTTCTTGAATAAATAAATAATTTTTAAAAAAGGAATTTACTGCCTAGCCCACTGTCCGATTCTGGGCTGTCTCGGGTTTGGACCAGCCTCTTGCCCTCAGTCCAGTGAAACCCCAGAGCATGTGGCCATCTCAATACCTGTGTACAATACCTGTGTACTTCTGCACCTTCTTCATCTTGGGAGTGGAGTGGGCCTCTGTCCCCTCCCCTGAATCTGGAGGTAGAGCCCAGGTGGAGAGGTCAGGAGGCAGGAAGAGGGACACATACTTGTGGCCCTGTTACTGTCACTGCACCTGATTTCCTGGTCCCACAGAGCCTGGGCGTGTTGTCTTGGCTGCAGCGTGTGCTGGACAGTGAGGCAGGTCATTTGAGGAGGGGAAGGAGGTAGGAGAGAAAGTACTTAGGTACACAAGGAGCATATGGCAGGGGACCTGCTTGCAAGGTTGATCTCAGCACCCTAACAGCTATGGTCCAGCAGGGTGGGCTGCCCTGGCTGTGACACGGGGGGCTTGTGGAGCAAGAGCTTCCAGGCCAGAACTCTGCTTGCTACCTTACAGTTTGGGATTTTGGCAGTTACCCCACTGAACAGCAGAGAGCCCTGCTCTGCCTGGGGGACACCCAACTCCTCTGCACCACAAGGGGGAAAGGGTTCTTTGGGCCCTGGGGGCTGGAAGCTTGGGGCTGCAGGTGTGGGATCCAGGAGGCTCGTAGTGAACAGGCGGTGTGGGAAGGACAGTGGGTCCTGGATGGCTGTGGGGGCTGGGCTGGGGACACTCCCAGGGGAGCGTCTCTCCAGATGTGTCCTGGAGCTGAGGGACAGACCCTTCTGAAGATGCTGACCTGGTTATCACTTTGGGGCTCTTAGGGCTGGTCTGTGGGGTTCGGCAGCTTCGCCCCCGAATTATAAAAGCACAGTAATTTGGGGCAGGGGTGGGGTCCAACCACTAGAGGAAATCCACTGTCCCTTCTCATTGACCTGCTGGGTCCCTGGTGCCTCAGGGACAGAATGTGGTGGCATGGCGGCCCCTGCTGGACAGTGGCAGGGCTGCAATACCTGAAGAGGGTCACCTAGAGAGGACAGTGTGCACCATGTTCCCCAAGAACTACAGTTAGGACCAGGGCTGTATATCCCCAAACCCCCAGGTTTTCTTGACCTGACAGCCAGGCTGGGGACTTGGGGCTCAGAAGTAAGGGGAGCCTCAG